TCACGCCAGTCTAAAATTTCCAGTCTTTTGCATTAAGACCAACTTTATGAGATTTTTCCTTACGAAATCTTTATAAATTGTAGCGATTTGTCTTTTTTATTAGGTGATTTTGAGCCTTTTAGGTTTTGATATAAATCAGAAATCCTCCTTTTTTACATTTCCGCTTTGATAACTTTTGCCGCTTTGGATTTAGTAGAATTTTTGGGAACAAAAAGTGTGCAAAATTAAAGTTTCTACAAGTTTTGTTGGAAACATTTTGATCTAAAATGATTTCCAGAAGACTTAGAGCTGAAAAAGTAATTAAAAATTGTCCATTGTTCAAATAATTTCAATTTTTGTGTGCCAAAAATTTTAAAATTCAGGACAAATTTACAAGGTTTTGGAAGCGGATTAAATTTCCTATCAATTGATGGTTGCACAACAAATACAAAAATTATTATAAAAAATATTAAAAAAAACTTTCAAAGGTACATTCTTACTATAAGAAAGGCCTTAGTTTTTTTTCACGTTTCTTAGGGCAAAATGCTTTTGATTCCCCATTTTAATACAAGGTTTTGTAAAGCGTTCACAAAGTAATAAGCAAATTAAAAGTAGACAAAAGATAGAACAAATTATCACCTCCTGAATAATTGTGCAACGTGTTTGTTTTTGCATTTTGGAAATTCACAGGAAAGTTCGTGAAATTCCGTTTTGCCGGCAAAAAAAAACGTTGGGCGAAAAGAAAAGTTTTGCCTGCAAATTCAGCTGGGAAATAATAAAATTGTAGCTTTTTATGCAGAAATGTAGCGCGGTGAGTGTCGCTGGCAACACAAAAAGCACCCACCTGATGAAAACACACGCTCGGAATTTTGCGCCGCCGCTGCAATTCTCTCTGCTGCTTTTTGTGTCTCCTTTTCATACACGCGATGCAACAAAACAGTTTTGTCTGTCGTCGTCGGTCGTCGTCGTCGCGCAACAACACACTCAGCACTTTTTGCACGTTCAATTGCAGCAAACGAGTTTTTGCTTCCCTTTGTGTTAATTTTCCGCCCTAATGGAATTCGCCAAATTAATTCTGCCGTCAATTCGCGCTTCAAAAACAGTTTCAGAGATGAAAATTTAATTTATATATTCATATCTGTTGTCAACATTTTTAATCCAAATCTCCCCAAAAAGAGGCAGAATGAGACCAGCAAGCTCTAATGATTTCAATGGAAAATCAATTTTCATGAGTCAACCTTTGGCGTTTGAAAACTTCCAAAAATCATCGATTTTGTTCAAAATTGAAAACTTGGATTTTTACTTTTCATCAAGTCTTAATTTGATTATATTTAAAACTCGTCCTCAACTAAAATTCTAATTTGAGAAATTTTTTTTATCTCTTTTAATTTCAAAATAAGTTTCTGCCAGCGATAAAAGTTATGCCAGCTAAATTAAGATTATGCCAGCGAAAATAAATGATGCTTGATTTTAATAAAGACAAACCCAAAATAAAAATAATAATAATAAAAAAAAGACAAAATTGAGTGGCGCCTGCTGCGCCACTAAAAAGGGCACAGGCCGACAAGACTTTGTCTTGGCCTGACCCTAAAAAAAAAAAAAAAAAAAAAAAAAAAAAAAAAAAAAAAAAAAAGGCTTATTTCTGCTCTTATTTGAAAAGGGCTCAAGTTAAACCCGTTCCGTCCTACAAAGGTCTCTGTCTCTCTCCGGGTCGAGAATAATCACTTTTTAATCCAGACGAACTGGAAAAGAGGAAGCAAAGGAGGGACCAACAGCAAATCCATTTCTACCAAGACCATTATAGTTATTCTTCCAAATCAACATCGTCGCGCTTCATTATTTTATTTTCAATTAAACATAAAATGAATTATCAGTTTTGATCATTATTTGTAGCAGGATTATAATTATAAAGAATTGCAACATTTTTTACAATATAAATACCACCAAAATTATATTATTATATTATGAGAAAAACATGATTAGAATTGAGCCAATTGAATGAATTCTTTCGTTTTTCTTGTTGCAATTATAATTGAAGTTGAATTAGGATTTGCCGAGTTATCAGTTTGGTTAATTTTGGTGCCAGATTTAAAATGCATGATGGCTGAGCGCGCCTCGCCGGTGACCACGAGGGAAATCAGCATGTTGGCGCTGCCAGCCAATTTGCATATCTCGCTCTCCACACACACACACACGTGTCTGTGGTGTCGTTTGACTTATTGATGCCGCGCCACCGTCCATCGCTATTTCTTTCTGATTTTTATTTCTCCTTGAAATTTCTTTTCTTCTTCTTTTGGGTGCAGGCAGCGATTTTAAGGCTCGTCGGGGGTGCAGTTGCGGTGCAGCAGCGAGTCGTGCCACCCCCGGGACCAATTTCTTCCGCGATTCGTCGCAGCGCCACAAGGAATAAGAAAGGGACTTTTACACAACGACCGCGGAACAACTAAAAGAATATAATCAAACACGTGCCTTAATTTTCTTAAAGTTCTTTCAAAATATCCAACTTTCAATAAACTAAAATCTAAAATGCACCACACTAAAAATAAGTAAATCATCATTCGAAAGGAAACATTTGCTTCTGAGGAAATAAGTCAGCGATTGACATATTCAATATTTATGGACCAAAGATTAATTAAACGCGTCCACGATTATTTACAGCACCTCAAAGTTGAAAGGGCAACTTTTTAGTTCTCTTGGGCCGCAGTGAGATGTCGCGCGAATACAGAAAGTCCATTTGGAAAAGCGAACGATGCGAAGGTGGCCGGAAAATAAACTATTCCCGCTTCATGCACATCTTGCCGGTCTTTCTTAGAACTTTACTTGAAATGCGTTCGAAAAAACCGAGTGCGAAAGTCTCGTACTTAAAGCATCTCATTCTTAAATTGAAATAAAAATAATCATCTCCAGGGTCTGTATTTGAATTGCAACCAAGGAATGAAAAAGTTCAGCTAAAAAAGCGCCGAACCAGAAATTCCTAATTGAAATAAGCGAGGGACGGAAATCCCAAAATATTCAGTAAAAATTATCATTATTAGTTATTTCGTCCGGTCCATCCAAGAATTTAAAACTAGAAAAAAGAGAAGCAAAGATATTAACATAGTAAAATTATTTTCCGAATAAAGACACAAAAGTTTTAATGAAATTTGGCGAAAACGAAAATAAAAAGAAATTGAAGGGGTGCGAGCGAGGAGAATCAAGTTGCCTGCGGAAGCCGAGGTAGACTGCGCCGCCCTGCACAGACGTCACGCGGGTGGCCACTTGTCGATTTGATGAAAAAAGTAGCTATTTTGCTTGACAAAAGTAGGAAATTTTGCCCAGGAAGTTGTATTGCGATCACTCGGACTAAACAGATTAAGGCTTTGTGCTTGCATGATTATTTTAAAATTGGTTTGGCTCAATAAGGCTCGCCTGATAATTCCACACTAGATTTCCATACTTTTTAATCAAGCAAATTATTAAAAAACCATTAATTTTTGTTTCCGCATTAGCGTTTGAGATGAAAAATACCGAATACATGGCGTCAATTTTTTTAATTAGTAAAAGTGTAAGAATTCATTTTAGAAATAATTTCAGGCCAAAGTAAGTAATTTGTTTGTATAAAATACAATAAAAAAGCGAACAATTCAAGTTAAGAATGGATCAGACATAACTCCTTTTTACATTTTTCTGCCTTAAAATGCCTAAAATTTGTCTATAAAAAACCAATTAATCATAATGGCATGTATATGACATCCTATAGCTTTTCATTCCGATTCTTGTGATTCTTAAACATGAAAATTTGCAATGCAAACCTCATTCAAAATTTAATTTTGCCTTCAGCAAGATTTTCAATCTGTGCATTTGAAAATTATGTTTTATTCTAATTAATTTAATTTTTTTTTTAACTATTGCCGTCGGTTAGGCTGTCGAGTAAGCTCTCGAGTGCATGGTCAGAAAATATGCTCGTATTTATTCTGGAACTAATTAAACATCTCGAGTAAATCTTTCATTGATTCATTTTCCGCTTCTTCCGTATCAGCAAATTTTTCTCTTACTGCAAAGTAAATTTAATTTTAATTTATTGTTTATTCATTTATTTGAAATGTTTCCGTTTAAAATTTTCGTTGTCGCTGTAAACAGAGTTGTCGAGTAAAAGTCGGCCTTTTCCGCTTTTATCAAGTAGCACTGCCCGGAAACGAGGGAAACACTAAAAAGTCATTTATTATTATTTATTATTTTTTTATTTTTGATAACGCAGCGAGCACGTGAAAGCGGCCGCTTATCATTTTGTGCTCGCCTTCAAAACGCAAGGAAAATTTCCTCTGACCTAATATTTTTTAAATAATTAAACGTTTTAAAAACCATACAAAAATTTTTCAATACAAATTAGATGCATTAGATTAAAAAATACCCACAATATCATGATTAGGAAATTCAGATTAATTTAATTTTCAGTATAATTTATTCTTTTCGGTCAGACTTCCCACTAATTTCTGATCTTTCATCTTCAATTTCACTATAACGAAAGAAAAACAAGTTTGGAGATTCTAATTGAACACATGGATAATGTTGCTTTGGCGCGGAGGGATGGAAAACTTTTCGAAATGATAAATTCTAGTTTTTTTTTTCACCTCTTTATATTTCCTTCCTCCACGCAAGTATGTTTTTTGTACGCTGAAAAAATCGAAACGGCCAAAACGAGACGATTGAGTAAAAACATGTAAATTATTAAACAGCAAAATGTAAAAAACAGTGAAATATTTTGTGATAATTTTACCGCAAACTAGTTGCAATTAGTTGCTAAATTATTGTTTCTTTTCTTTTTCTACAATTTGCGGTGAATAATTTAAACATAAAGAAAATATTCCTTTTGCTCTTTGAGGCAGGTCGAAGTGGAAACACGTTCGTGTCCTTTTCGCACTCGGAACGACAAAGCTTAGAGGGGAATGGAAATTCGTATCACTTTATGAAAAAACAACGCAGCAATTATTTCTTATCATCAAGCTAGGCCGCCTGCAAAAGGTATAAAACAAACGGAGAGGCGGCCAGGTGTCGCGTTTCAGAAAGTTGTCGTCGGTTTCGTCGTCTTCAAGAAAAAACCTGCGATCAAGATGGTGTCCCTGGTGCTGATTCTACTCGCCTCCCTCAGCCAAAGTAACTTTGTTTTTCACTTTTTTCTTCGAATTAAGGAAATTCTTGATTTTCACTTTGATTTATTTAGGCCGAAATTTACATTTTTGATATATGTTAAATTTTTCCTCAAAGTCGATCGAAAACATAAGATAATAAAAAAGAAAATTTCGCAGCAACGTTGGCAACTTTTGGGCCAACCGTGACAGCCAACTGGGCCGGCCAGTTCCCCTACGTCGTAAGTTCTCAGCTTTGAAAATTGGTTTCAAGCTACTGTCCATGTCTTGAAAATAAGGTCAAGCTTCAATCTTCTGCGGATGCGATCGAGATGACCATTCCCGCGCTGGTTGTGAGCCAAAAGATGGTCTTGGCCGAACCATCGTTATTCAAGTGAGTTGAAATCTCAATTTCAAATGGAAATTTCATAACAAATACCCTAACAGCAACCAATTTTGTCCAAAGTGCTCAATAATGTTTTTCCCTGGCTCAAGCTAAAAAAACGTTTCCTTTCTAAAAAAAAAAAAGAAACACACGGTGGTAATCCCAAAAATATATTTCTGGTCCATATTAAAACTCCCAAGTAATGATTTTCCGATCCTGAGCTGTTGAAATCCTCTTTAATAATTTTGTGATAAAAAAACATTGCAGTCCGAATTCGCCGACCTCGTACACGATGACGAGCCATAACATGCAGGTCCGTCCGGTGGCCATAATGGTCTCGTACGTCAGTAATTTCGTCGTTTTAAAAACATGCAAACCTTTTGGCTCCGAGCGTTTCAACCTGACGCTCAGCGAATTTTTCAACTATCAAGCTGACAATACGGACGCGGCCATTATTTTCTTCGAGGGCAACGTGAGATTTTAAATTTTTTTTACTTTTCATTTGGTGCGTAGAAACGGAACTGAGACTTCAAGGCGAAATTGAACTATTATCATTTTGCACTTTTTTTGTCACATTATTTCCAACCCCGAGACCTACACTCAGGTCATTTTCTCCACCCCTGGCCTCAAAATAAGAAAATAGAAACAAATAAAGTAACAAAAATTGCATTCTTTTAAGCGCTAGGTATGTAAATAAATTAAACTGGGTTCACGCCTTTCAATTTCGTCTACTTAAAAATTTTCTAGAATTTATATCAAAATTGTTGCACGCGCAGAGTTTGAAGTCCAAATCGACGACTGCGCTGTCGGACACGTCCTGCGATTCAACGTTTGGAGCTGATTACACCGATTATAACACGTGCATAGCTCAAGACACGACTGACGATATTTGCAAGGTACTTTGTCATTTTGGGGAAAAAAGAAAAAAAATTCACTGCAAGGTTGGATTTAACGTTTGTTGTTTTATTTCAACGAAAAATTGCCATGCGCAAGAATGTCTTTTGTAGCAAAATTTTCTGCTGAAATGTTGACAAAACGACAGATCAAGCAATAGCAGGTGATCATTTAGATCTCTGAGGTTTACTAGTAAAATATTTGTTATGTAAAAATAATTCCTTTCTTAGAAACTAATTTCGTTTTCATCAATTGAATGTAAACGATGATGCGTGGGAGTGTAAAAATGTGAACAAAAATAATGATAAAAAGAAAATGAAAGTAATTTGTGTGCCCGCAGACGTACTACACCGACGACTATTACTTTGCAACCTACGTTCGGGAGCCTTTGCTGGTGGTGAACGGCCGAGTGCAGGGCTTCATGTTCTCGGCAAACTGCGACTCATACCATGACAACTCCGAGAAAACCCAATTTCGCAAGATCGACAAGTTCCGCTCGTATATTCTCGGCATCACAGGCATTGTCGTCGACAATCCTTGAAAAAAAAAACGCTAATCCAGTGTTCTTGAGTGACTTTTCGATTTGACAAATAAAAAAAACTAGGGTGCACTTTGCTGCTGTGTTTTACTGGTCCTTTGAAAAAGGCTTCTGCTCATACATAAGTATGGAACTCGAAACAATAATTTTCCTATGCAGGTTGATGTAAAGCCATGCAACTGCGGGAATTTCGGGACAATAAAGGCAACCTTATTTGACTTCAAACTTTAACCAAATCAATTTCCAAAAAATATTAATTCTTCAACCCGACAAGTTGACGGTAGCCTTAAAATTAAACCACCTAATAGTTACCAAGTGTAATGAGAAGCCCACGAGACGATTCCTCAAGTTAATAAACTTAACTGTTATAGTGCAAGTCCCACAAACACATATTCGCTTAACAATTCCTTTACCACGTGCCAAAATATGTTAATAATAATTAATTTTTTTGTTTAGCGCCGAACTGTTGAATTATAAACGGGCCATGAATTTTTTGATAATTCATTTTCCACGTTGGAAAAAGATGAGAAGCAATAATTTTTTTTTACAATATTTGGAACTCCCATATTCTCAATTTTTAGTGAAATTTAAAACAAATTTTCATTTAAAAGAAAAATTCTTTAAAGCATGATAAATCTATAAATTGTTATCACTTAAATTACCTACGTTTGGAAGAAATTCGTTTATGGAAGGAGAAATTGGCGCTTAATAAAATATTATTTTTTCCAGCTGAATTGGAAGAAAATATTGGAATTTTTTGACGTCATAATTATGAGCTTAAAGCTGTACATTGGTATGTTTTTTAATTTAAGAGCACAATTTTATACTCTTTTCAAGACAGTCGATAAAAATTTGTTACTTATATTGACTTGTCCAGCCTGATTGGGCGGCAACCCGCAGGACACGTTTGTTGCGCGGGTTGCATCACTTTAAACGCGGGTATTCGGGAAAAAATAAAAATTGCTGAATTTACATATTAAAATAATATCAGAACCGAAAACAGGTAAGAACCAAGTTGCATGAACCAGAGAACCATAAATTTTTCCAGAACAAAACTGCTCCTAAGTAAGTTTCCGCTGATAAACTATAATATATTTCAAAGTTATTTTTGAACACCACTTTTCCACCGTTTTTATCAATTATTCATCTCTCAAATGAAAATCCAATCAAAGAATTCAAAGGAATAATATACGAAAAAGCCATTCGTCAGATGAAAAAAGATTAAAAATGAACAAAAAATTGTGCACACGATTCACAGGAAGGAAAATTTTAAATGTAAAAATCTGTTGCAATTTAATTAGGTGCTGCTGAGAAAAATGAAATTGTCTTTCCAATTTAAACCACTTTAAAAAAAAACGTACGCAATGTCAGCAGAGCTACAATGTTTTTGTCAAAACGGAAGTTTTGGACGCAAGACTGAAAATACTGCCTCATAATTTATCATCGCATACACATTTGGAGTTTCAAATTTTGCATATTTATTGCCTGCTGCGTTTAGCATAAAGTGACTGCGGGAAACTGACTTTTCATTTTTTTTTCTTTCAGGTTCGAAATGGGCGTGACCATTAATTATTATATCGTTCGTGGCTAGACCCAGGCAACGTCATATTATTCCCAAGTTGTTCTTTAACATTCCTGCTTAAATTTCTGCTCTTTATACTAAATAATTTTTTTTTAATTTCGTAAGTTTGACTAGGTGTGAAAGGGTAAAAAATAATTGAATTTTTTACAATTGATTTCACAATATGATGTTCATATATATTAGTTTCACAAAACGCTGGAAATTGGATCAAAACAATTGGGAAATTAATGGAAACGCATTTAAGATGATTTAATTGTATGTACAATTTTGATAAAATTTTACCGTACAATGCTTCCAATTTTGAATCATAAATATTTTATCTTTCTGAGCTTCTTGAACATAAAAAATATTATTCGAAAAATAAGAAGTAATATTATAAAATCTAGCTTTACTATTTGCTAATAAAATCAATAAAATTAATTGCAAGAGAGAAAACTCGTGCGGAAGAAAAGTTTATTAATTAGCACACAACGCTCTATAAAGTCAACGTGGACGCAAATATTTCACTTTCATGAGTTACGCAAAAGAAAAATAGAGATGGAAAAAATTAGAAATTTTATTGGAAAATGCAAATTTAAATACCAATATAAATGCAGCCAATTTGTTTTAAAATCAGAATAAGATACATTCAGAAGTTGTTGCTTTATTTTCCCACAGCCTTCGTGGTCAACTTGGTTGTGGTTTTAGTTGTGGTTTTAGTTGTTGTTTTTGTTGTCGTCTTGGTGGTAGTACTTGTTGGTTTTGTGGTGGTTGTAGTTGGTTTTGTAGTTGTAGTCGTCGGCGGTGGCGTGGTCGATCCTGTTCCCAGGGTTGTTGTCCCGGACAAATCTGCTCAAAATTGGAATTAATAGCGTGTTCAATAAAAAGGGTGGAAGTATTTGAAAGACCTTGGCCGATTTTCGTGGACATCCAGCTGAGATAGGAGGTCACTCTGGAGTATCCTGAGTACCCTTGCAGACACCCTGCAGCAGCGCCAAACGACACCACGCCGAACTGCGTCCAAAGGTTGTTGGTGCCGGCGTCCTTGAACACCAGAGGTCCGCCACTGTCACCCTGCAATATAAATATAATCTTTCCACTGTTGAAATAGAAAATAAATCTTCAGACCTGACACGTGGAAGTGCCAGTTGGTTTGGTGCAAATTTGCGAAGCGAAGATGGATCCAGTGCCGTAGTAAGAAGCGCAAACCGCATTTGAAACGACCGTCAACTGAGTGAACCTCAGATCGGGGCTGGAAGAAGAGGCTGGGGAAATTTTAAAATTTCAATTCATGTCGCGCTGTTGAAAGGAATCGAATACTGTCCGAGGTCCTGCCGAAGCCACTGATAGTGAACAAGAGGCCCGTCAGGTTTCTGGCAGCGTCGGTCATGGTCGGCAACCTCACCGGTGAGATTGTGGCTACGGATTTTGTCAATTGAAATCACAGTTAGGAAGCTAGGGTAGAGTAGCCAACCGGTAAAGGTGATTGCTGAGGGAAGCTTGACGAGGGCGATGTCATTGGCCAGGGTGTTGTGATCGTACAGTTCGTGGGTGAAGTTGACCGTCGAGGTGAGCCACATGTAGCCGGAGGACAGGGTGCTCTGGCTGATGGTGCCCAGGATCACGTCATACGCGGCCCTGAATGATCAGTTCTTAATCTTTGTACTCATGTCAGGGTGAATATTTTCGTGACTGACCCTGTGCAGTGGGCAGCCGTCATGACCCATTGCGAGAGGATCAGGGAACCTCCGCACAGCCAGGCGTTGTCAATGTAGAGCAGCGTCTGCCACGGGAATTGTCCGAGGGTGGCCAACGAGCCGCCCACGATCTGCTTGCTGATGTCAGACGAGGAGAGAGACGACTTGCCCGCGTCAACCGCTTTTTAAACAAAAAATTTGGCATAAAATTCTGTTTAAAGCTATATATTAATATCTGATCTTATAGAAAATGAGATGTGAATTTAATTTTGGATATGATATCAACTTTGTTTCGAGAAAAATGTTATGATAGGATAAATATAAAGTTTGGCTTTGAAAACAAAACATTCTTGCAACAAAACGGAATTAAGTGCACTGGTCAAGATCCGATAATTATATCTTGTGGCAAAATATATAATTATTTCAAAATTCATATTACGCTGAATTATTGGCGGAGCGTTGAGATTGCCGAGTTTGGGTTTGTCGACCTGCGACTGGAGTTTCTTCAACTGCGACGCACTTGGACGAGACTTGACCTCAGGCTTTGTCTGAAGCATCGGCTTCACTTGAAGGTACTTGTCATTGGCCGAGGACGCCGCGGGCAGGCCCAACGCAGCCTTCATTTTATTTTTGTAAAAATCAGCCGTGCCAACTCTTGAGGGGACTCACCTGAGCCAGCACTAGTGCGGCCGCCGCTATCATGAACAGAGTCTTCATATTTCCTGGCGAAGATTCGACGGAGCGAGCTGTTGCCAGGGAATTGTCGATCTCAGTGCCCAGCATCCGCATCTTATATAGCCGCGCCTCACTTCCTGTCCCGCAGCAAAACACAAAAGCGGTTTTCAAATTCAAGGCAAGCCACGCAAATGTGACGTGTGGGTTCAAAATTTCGAGCCCAAGGTAACCGAATGCATTGTTCGCCACTGTTTTCCTGTTTTTGTTTTGTTCCAAACTATCAGTCATGGCGCTTGACATTTATTTATTTGGGTTTTTGGCTTTTCAGCATAAAGTGTTTTCCTCCTTTGTCATGAATATTCAGCGCATGTGGCAAAGCCCGAAATGCCTGATAAAGAAACCGTTTTTGCCCATTTTTTTCTCAAATGCATCCTTTAACCATCTCATAACTTTTTTATCTGTTTGAGAGGAAGATCAAAGCAGAAAATTATTTAACTAGTCAATTATTTGAATTATTATTTTCTTTTCATTCGGTTGATTGCATCACGAACAAAAAATTAATATCACTTGGAAAATAAAGTTTTGATCGAGAAAAAATAGTTTATTAAAAATGTTCTGCTGAAAACACTTGCAATTAAGAATTCTCAAGAAATTCTTTGAGGGAGATAAGGAGCAAAAAAATTTATTGATATTTATTTAATTTTTATTGGCAACCCTTGTCGCTTCAAAGATCCAAATCTTTAAATTATTCTCAAATGGTATGTTTTAAAAAGTAAATGATTAATTATCTATTTTATTCAAGGATTTTGACGATTTATCAAGATATTCAATTTGTTAATTAAATGAATTGAATGATTTTCGGGAGGCGAACGTAAATTTGTTCAAAGATATTTTGCACGGCTATATGTATTTTTAAACCATCAAAGATTATCTAAAAAAAATATGAGAGAAAAAAAAATAAATTTTCTTCTCATAATTCATTATGTCAGTCATTCATACATACAGAATCGACAAATGAAAAAAACGCATTAACTATTGCTGTGCTTGTGTTTGAAAAAGCAGTAAAATAAATATGTCATTTTTTTGTGGGAAAGTTTTGTATTTCAGCTAAAAATTATAATTATTTTAAATGCCATCAATACATTGAATGGCATTGATGCAACATGGGAAATTAATGCTTCATTTAGCTCAGAAACTCTAACAATATTACAGGAATGGAAACGAATTACACTAATAAACCAAAGCTAATTGAATGTTGGTTCCATTCAGGAGCCCCTAAAAAAATAAAATGTGGTAATTTTAAGAGAAATTAAATACAATTTTCCAGTGGATGCAAAATCGAATAATTTAAGTGCCCCAGTTTAAACTGAAATACATTTAACCGCGCTTCTTTTTTTTTATCCAAGGATATCCGACTTCTGCTGCAATTGAAACACGTGTGGCTTTTACTAAATCGCGCGCTCGCCTTCTCATAAAATATTGTGGGTAGTAAAACGCGCCGCTCTGAAAAAATAAAACAATTCCTTTGTTTTCAGTGAACTTTCACTGGAAATCAAGCCGACTTGAAACACAATGCTTTGATGATATGCATGCGGCTAAATTGACCAAAAAAACTCTGTAATTCTGGATAAATATTTGCCTTTCGTTTGGTTTAAAAATACATAAAAAAAATTAAAATTTCCAAGAGTAATGAAATAACTTTTGCAAAAATAAATTTTTACAATAATTTAAATGATGGAAAATTTAATCAACTGTTGAAAGAGCCTTGCAACAAAGATTTTTTGTTTTTCCAAAACGGTTTTTTAGAGATTTTAATTTCTAGATTAGAATAAATAAATAAATTAACCTTAGAATAAAAATGAGGCTGATTTTGTATGAAGTTAAAATTGATTGGAAAAGAATCAACATATTATCAACATGAGATAATCTATAATAATGTGATTATGTTAGGTAATATTCATATAAACATCTCTGAATTTAATTTTATACTCTCTTATTTGTCCAATTTTTAGTCACATGAAATAACGCTGTTTTTGTCATAATAAATACTTTTTTGAAAAATGAAGCTGGTCCGTGAAAAAATTCACTGTTGAGATGATTTTCAAAACATTTCGAATTTTTATCAAGAATTTTACCAAAGACGCATTGTGGTTGGAGCCTATATGGCTACTTATTAACAACATTATGCACTGGTTAAAAAGAAATAATGAAAAAGTAGAAAATACTCGATTTCTATAATGCCAATTTTATATCAAACTACTGAGGTCGATTTAAGCAAGAGCATTTTACAAATGACAGAAACGAGCCGTTTAATGGTCGGTCCTCGATCTTGACCTATCCGTGGTTTTATTTCTTTTGGTTGTTGTTGTTTTTGGGGTGCGTGTTGTTGTCGTCTTCGGAGTGCGTGTGGTTGTAGTCTTGGGTGTTCGCGTTGTTGTCGTCTTTATTGTGGAAGTCTTTTTCGTAGTCGTCACCTTGGGAGTGGACGTCGTTTGAGTCACAGATGATGATGTACTCTGGCTGGTGCTGGTTGCGCTCATTATTGTTGACGGTGTCTGCGTTGAGCTGGCCGCGGTGGTTGTTGGCGCCTGAGTAGTGGTGCCAGACACGTCTGCCAAATTCCAACATCGACATTGTGATCTACGATTATTATTAACAATTGATACGAACCTTGGCCAATTTTATTGGACATCCAGCCGAGGTAGGAGGTCACTCTGGTGAATCCCGAGTACCCCTGCAGACACCCTAGAGAGGAGCCAAACGAGACCACGCCGAACTGCACCCAAAGGTTGTTGGTGCCGGCGTCTTTGAATATTAAAGGCCCGCCACTGTCACCCTGCCAAAGTATATTATTTTCTTGGAAAGCAATTAATTCAGGGCACACCTGGCAAGTGGAAGCTCCAGATTGTTTGGTGCAAATGGTTGAAGCAACGACGATCGAAGCTCCAAAGTAAGTCGCGCACTGCGCATTAGAAACGACCGTCAACTGAGTGAACCTGAGATCGGGACTTGTAGCAGAACCTGTTGACGTTTTCTGATTCAAATCAGTTTGGCTATATTTCATCGTTATTCTTACCATCCGCGGTTCTGCCGAAGCCGCTGACGGTGAACAGGAGACTCGTCAAATCTCGAGCAGCGTCGGTCATGGACGGCAACTTCACCGGTGAAATGCTCGCTACGGATTTGGTCAATCAAAACAGTTAATTGTCAAGAAGCTTGTGCGAGCCTACCAGTGAAAGTAATGGGAGAGTCGAGCATGATGAGGGCGATGTCATTGTTGAGGTTCACGTCATTGTACAGTTCGTGGGTGAAGTTGACGGTCGAGGTGAGCCACATGTAGCCAGAGGACAGGGTGTTCTGGCTGATGGTGCCCAGGATCACGTCGTACGCGGCCCTGATATTTCATATGTTTAAATTGGCATGATTTGCTTTGATTGGGAATATTTCTGACCCTGTGCAGTGGGCTGCCGTCATGACCCATTGCGAGAGGATGAGGGAACCTCCGCACAGCCAGGTGTTGTCAATGAAGAGCAGCGTCTGCCACGGGAACTGGCCCAGGGTGGCCAACGAGCCGCCCACGATTTCCTTGCTGATGCCAGAGAGCGAGAACGCTGTACCCGCGACAATTGCTGAGTTTTTTTGAAGAAGGTTAATGATCTTTCAAACTTATCCATTTATTAGTGACTCGAAACTCAAATAGAGACACACAAAAAGATGGAAATTTAGTAATCAAGACTTAATTAATGAAATTGATTGATTCATTGACATATAGTTAAATTTAAAACATCGATAAAAGAGAGACCAAAGTTAACTATAATCTTGTTTTTTCCTACATGTTAAAATATTTTGCATTTGACTGAGTAGAATAAATAAAATAATACTGATTAATTGTTAAACATCTTATTTCTGATCGATTTTAAGAAAAAGTAGTAAAGAGTGCTTACGTTGGACGATTGGGTCTGCTTTAGGATCATCAACCTTGGGTTTGTTGGCCTCCGTCAGTTTGGTCCATTGTGAGGCGCTGAGCTTCTGGTTGACCTGAGGCAAGGTGCGGTCCTTGGGTTTGACTTTCAGGTAAACGCCTTCGTCCTTACGGGCGCCAACGGCCACCTTTGTTTTTCAAAGTTTCAGAAAACCTGAATTAAGGATAAGATCAACTTTGTCCCCTCACCTGCAGTAGCAGTGCCAGCAGCACTAACACGAGTACATTCTGCATGTCTTTTAAAAAAGAATGATGCAAATGAATGAATGCATCGACCACTCTGCCCGCATATATGAGGAGGTTGCAGCTCACTTCCTGCTCGCGTTACACGATTATTCTGGAAGCATGTTTTGACATTTATTTCCCAGCAATTTATCTCGTTCGCCATCGGTAATTTTAAATAATGGTCGACGTAGGAACGTGCATAGTGACAATTAATTACTTTTGTCAAATATTTTCATAATTATATTGTTTGCACGTTTTATTTTTCATTGCCCGCATTTGCTGAAAACGTTTTTGAAATGATTCGCACAATCCATGAGATTGAAATTGTTGATGCCATAAGTACGTGATTTTTTAGAAGACAAATATTTAATTAATGCAGACCTACGAATTCACATTTTAACTTTTTATTAGTGAACCAAATTCTGCTATTTGCTGCAATAAACATTTTATTTAGGTAAGAAGCTGCCCAGATTTGGTTGAAATGAAACTTAATCAACGCACGAATGAATCATTTATTTCTTGCAGAATAATCTAAAAAGTTTTGTTCGTATCTGGTCATGCGGAAATGAGAGATTGCGAAATCCTTTGACCGTCACTGGGCAGGAAAATGGACGTTTCGAAATTTCCTGCTTTTTAAAAAGTCACTCGCTCGCTTACTGTTGCAACATCCGCCGAGTCCATTTTTGTTTTCAAAGAATCGTTTCAAAATTAAACTGTTTTGAATTGAGGGTCGTAAAATGACGCACAGCGCGGTCTGAACAAACAGCAATTTACATTCTTTCAATTAATTCGTGGAATTCGTGATACAAATTGAACTGGCCAAACTTCATATGCGTACTACATGTATCGAGAACAGAAAAAACATTTTTGTGCTAGTAATTCAAATTTTTACAATAAAAATATTTTGCTTGGTGAGGGTAAAATTTTTGGTTATGATTTAAAACAACTTCAATTGAATCCAAAATTGCAAAATATTTATACATGTATCAGTCGATTTATGTACATTATGAATAGAGTCATTGCTTTTGAGAATTTATTATTTTAATTTTTTTTTTAAATAAAATTCATGCATTTGTTATTGAAAATCAAAGAAATACACGCAAATAATTTAAAGGAATTTTTTATTAACTTTTAATATTCATTTAGAATATTTTTGACGAATGAAAACCAATTTGGCAAAATTACGTAATTAAGGAAAAAATCAAATTCTTTAATAGAAAATTATGCAGCATTTATTTCCCTGAATAAGATTGTTCCCACTTCTTTTAAAAGTTTGCAATAAAATACCATTTTAAAGTGTAAGCCGAGAAAATCTCCGCAATTATAAAGTTTTCCTTGAAATGAAGAACCATTGTTTTATTGCAAAAAATTCCAATTTATAGTTTTGAGGGCAATGACAAATCAGTCTGGAGAAAATATCTAACGCGGATTAGGAGAATTTTCCTATTTGCATCATTTTTGCTGCGTCACTTTTGAAAATTCCTTTCTCTAATTTTTCTAAAGAAGCGTAACTTGTCTGCACGTGTGTTGTAAATAGAACAAAGTTTTTAATTTTCATTTTCCGAGTTTTTCGTCTTAAATTATGACGAAAAATGCCTCTGGCATGACAATGTAGGTAATTATTAGAAAATAAGCTTGTTTTTAAGTCCCTTTTGTTTGCCGAGTTTCGCCTCAATCACGCCATTTATATTTCTCAAGTGCTTCTTTTTCGTCGAAGAACTCGTCACTGCCTTATTTGATAGCAGCAATTTGACGCGTAGAACAATAGTCAACCATGGGAGGCGAAATGTAAATTAAATTTTAATTTCATCCGCCCGCACAACCAACAACTGAGGCAGTAAATTTCCAATTACCCGATTTCTCGGAAGGAAAAGTGGCCTATTAAGTACGCAGGGTATATAAAATGAAGAAGTTACCTGAGGTGTTTAATCAGGAAGACTCGGACAGACGAATCGTCACCCAATTTCCTCAAGATGTTGTCTCTAATTCATCTCATTCTGCTCGCCTCTCTTTACCCAAGTAACTAACAAAACTTTATTTCTTTTGAATGAAAATTGAAAAATGTTGCTCGCAGCAACGTTGGCCGCTGGGTTTGGGCCAACCGTGGCCGCCGACTGGGCCGGCCAGTTTCCCTACGTCGTAAGTGCCGCAAGTTTTGAGACGAATAATCAATTTCAAGCCATTTCGCCCTGAAAAGGTCAAAGTTCAAAATCCTGCGAATCCAATCAATATGACCTTTCCGGGGGTGATTTTGAGCCAAAAGATGGCCATGGTTTCCTCTGTATTATTCGAGTAAGGGAAAATAAATTATTTTGCACTGCCGAAAAGTATTTGAATTACTTAAAATGTGCTTATTTCAGTCCACGGACTGTGACCGCGAACCTGATGACCGACGCCGACCTGAAGGTCCACGGCGTGGCCAAGTTGGTTGGCACCGCCTTCTCAGTGTATCAAGTTTTGAAAACGTGCCAACCTTTCGGCGAAGCTCGATTCAACTTGACGCTGAGCGAGTTCGTCACGTTCGAGGCCAGCCACGCGGACGCCGCCATCATTTTATTCCAGGGAAACGTGAGTTTCGTTTTTGCATTCTTTATTTTCAACACCCCGAAAAATGTTCAAAGTACGGCCAATTTCTTCTTGCAAAATCAATTACAGAACAAATCTTTGGTGTCAATAGGGCTATGTTTTAAATTTTTTTAATTAAAAGCTGAAAAATAAATACTTCTCGCCCTAGCAGGACTGACAATTGGTATAAATCCGCCATTATTGTCAACCTTCACTGTTTTGGTTTCCCAAGGGAAAGTAACATTTTCGACTGGAAAGCTTTTAATTAATGCCCCAGTAATGAACACAAACAAATAATATGACCGTATATGATGCGAAATGAATTACTAAAATATTTTACATCAAGATTTTTGCGTTCAAAGAAAAGATTCGTGTGGTAGAATTTCTCGATCGGAGGTTGATTCATGGTGATTTTCCTCGGTGGGTTTTTGTGAGTTGTTTGTTGTTTATTTTGTTTAAGAAAAATCAATATTCCTGCTCATCTAGATTATGTTTTGGCTTCGGGCTGCAGCCATAATTCTTGAGCTGTGCAATCATTTTTATAAGAATTAGAACAAAAATCAATATTTTCTAAATATTTTTATTTAAAATTAACAATTTTTCGTGGAAAATAATTTAAAGCTACATTTTTTTGAAGAAAAAAGTTTTTACAAAAAATTTGACAATGCAATTCAATCAAGTTTTGTGTTGAAATTTGATAGGTTCGTTAAATAATATTTAAAAAAATTGCTAATTTGAAAAAAAATTGATTTTTGTTTTTAACAGTAATTCTTGTCAAACTGATTTCTCAGCTCATGAATTGTGTAGCCGCAGCTGAAATTTGTAGAGCAGTCTATTGTTTCAATTTCTTATACAATGAAAAACTTACAAAAGTTATCGGGGAAAAGCCAATTTAAAATTTAAATTTTTCGAGCAGTTTTTTTACTTTTTCCTCGGTCAGAATAATTTTTTTTCAGACACACATGACTATTTTAAACAAATGAAATTAATGAAATTCGATAGAGTTTGATGTCCAAGACGACGGCAACGCTTACGGACACCGAGTGCGACGCAGCATTCACAACTGGTTCAAGCAATATTGGGATTTGCGTCACACAAGACACTACCCCTGGTATTTGCACGGTACGCATTTCGAATTGGTAAAATCTGCGGCATGATTCTGATTTGGTTTTTGAATTTGACGATTTTTCGTATCCAACAAATTAAAGGCAAAACAAACGACCTTAAAACCAAAGCAGAATCGAAACACATTTTTTCTTCTCTCAAACTGATGCTTTTGCAGTCGTTCTTTACCGACAACATGGGGACGCCCACCTATGTGTGGATGTCGCTGTTGGTGGTCAACGGCCGAGTGCAGTCTTTTTTGGCCAGTTCGAGCTGCGACGGAAGTAATGACAACGTCAAGCCAGTTTTTTTCTACAAGACGTCCTACATGCGCGACAAGATTCTCGGTGTTGCTGGCATCGTCGTCGACAACCCTTGAAATCAATTTCAGATTTATTCCTTTTTTTTTCATTTCGCCACCGAGAGTGTTTTTTATTTATTTTTATTTTTGGCAAATAAAAAGAGTTCCTGCTTTTTATTTCCAATGCACTTCATTTTGACATGTTTTGGAAACAAAGAACAGGAGTTAATACTCACAAAAAGACCTCACATTTGGCCTGTAATGGTGTGAAACGAGCTCCTGGCCGTGAAGCTATGCCGATTTTTAGTAATTTTTCAAGCCAGAGAGCAACCTCGAAATCAACATTAATAAAAAATTCAGCTTTTTTATGAGCTCGAGCTGTTTTTTGTATTGTTGAGTTTTTTACCATTTTGCGTGAATCTCGATTTTTCTAGAAAGTTGTTTAAAAATTAAGTAAATATTCCATTCGTTATTTTGCCTAATTAAAACCATTCCTAAGTTTGATGAGTTTCTTTTTAGATTTGATATTTTTGAATGTTTTCACATTTTAATAAAAATTTGGTTTCACTTTGACGTATGAATCAGATTTATCTTTCTGGATTTTATTTTCTTGCATGCAAACGGATTGAGAATTATTTTCTTGCTGGTTTGATCGATCTGCGCCAAAAAACGAGCACTTCCATCGCGAATAGTTTCAAATGCCTTGTATATTTAAGAGCATATTTTGAATCTCCGCATACAAAATAGTTAAAGTGCTGAACATGAATATTTAGATTTTTACTTGTTGGCTTCCCAATTAAGAAAAAATTAAATTTGATGACAAATCGTTTTGTTTTTCATAATATTTTCAAATTACAAAAAAAAACGGAACATGTCAAAAATAAAATTATTAATTAAATGATATGTACATATATGTGTATTTTAATGATTTTGCCTTGTCACTAGTCTAACATTCCTTGTTTCTTTGTTGTTGATCGGTCGCACTCAACATCCGCCTCCTCATTTCCTCCCTCATATAATTAAAAAATTGCCTACTTTTGCGCATCTCGCAAATATTGCAAATGCATTGAAAAATTAAAATGGGTGTTTCCGTTCACTTGAAATTAGACCAATAACCAAATAATTAATGAAAATCTGATGGAAACAATGATGCGTTGGCGTATATTTCTTTTTCCACAATTACTTTCACCGCTTCGATGGTTTTTAAAAAAAAATCAATAATCGGGGGAGCTTTTGTAAAAAAAAAATATACTAAAATGCGAGAGGCCGAGAACTGCGCTGGCCAATACGATTATTCTTCCAAGATTGTGTTACAATTAAAAGTTTTGGCATCTGCTCACCACGGCTTTAGAGGGCTGATAAATAAAGTGTGATTTTTTTGCCGAGAAATTGTTCATAAATGAAATATAAATAAATTTATTTATCGCAACCAATTAAATATCAAATTTAGCGCATTCAATTAGAATTTTCCGTACATAATAACATTCTTTTATATCTGTTGAAATTGGTCCATGCTTATTTTCCCACGGGCTTCTTGGTGGTGCGGGGGCGGGTTGTGGTTTTTGTAGTTGTCTTGGTAGTTGTCCGAGGAGTTGTTGGTTTGGTAGTGGTCTTGGTGGTCGTCTTGGTGGTCGTCTTGGTTGTTGTACTCGTTGGTTTCGTACTTGAGGTCGTCGGCCGCGTCGTGGTGGAGGTCACGGTGTTGGTCACTCCCGTGCCCACAGTTGTCGTCCCAGACAAATCTGCTCAAAAGCGTTAAATTGGTGTCTCGCATTCAACAATGACGAAAACTAATTTTTTATGAACCTTGGCCGATTTTCGTGGACATCCAGCCGAGGTAGGAGGTCACTCTGGAGTATCCTGAGTACCCTTGCAGACACCCTGACGCAGAGCCAAACGACACCACGCCGAACTGCGTCCAAAGGTTGTTGGTGCCGGCGTCCTTGAACACCAGAGGTCCGCCACTGTCACCCTGCAATATAAATATAATCTTTCCACTGTTGAAATAGAAAATAAATCTTCAGACCTGACACGTGGAAGTGCCACTTTGTTGGGTGCAAATGTTGGAAGAAAGGATAGATCCAGTGCCGTAGTAAGAAGCGCAAACCGCATTTGAAACGACCGTCAACTGAGTGAACCTCAGATCGGGGCTCGAAGTAGAGGCTGCGTTGAAGTTGGATTCAAATCTAGAGTCAGGCATATTTCAATCATATATTTTATGCTCGTACTGTCCGCTGTCCTGCCAAAGCCGCTGACGGTGAACAGAAGACCCGTCAAGTCCCTTGCAGCGTCGGTCATGGACGGCAACTTCACCGGTGAGATGGTGGCTGAAAAGTAAATTGAAATATAAGTTCAGTGAAGCTGACTGTCAGGGTAATTTCTGCTAAAATTACCGGTAAAAGTGATTGCTGAGGGAAGCTTGACGAGGGCGATGTCATTGGCCAGGGTGTTGGTGTCGTACAGTTCGTGGGTGAAGTTGACGGTCGAGGTGAGCCACATGTAGCCGGAGGACAGGGTGCTCTGGCTGATGGTGCCCAGGATCACGTCATACGCGGCCCTGAATGATCAGTTCTTAATCTTTGTACTCATGTCAGGGTGAATATTTTCGTGACTGACCCTGTGCAGTGGGCAGCCGTCATGACCCATTGCGAGAGGATGAGGGAACCTCCGCACAGCCAGGCGTTGTCAATGTAGAGCAGCGTCTGCCACGGGAATTGTCCGAGGGTGGCCAAAGAGCCGCCCACGATTTCCTTGCTGATGCCAGAGAGCGACGACTTGCCCGCGACATCCGCTAAATTCACACAATTTATCTCAAAAGGATCACATTTCGTCTTCTACCCCAATCAGAGTTTTGACGCAAATTAAGATGAAAATGCTGCTTTATTTTGTAGAGAAACCAAGAAGAAAGTTGCAATGGCAGTGAGAATGAATTTTCAAGGTAAAAGGAGAGTTGAATTAATATTACGTTGGACGATTGGGCTGGCGTTTGGGTCGTTAGGCTGGTCGGGCTGGGCCAGTCGGGCCAACTGGGAGGCGCTGAGCTTCTGGTTGACCTGGGGCAAGGTGCGGTCCTTGGGCTTCACTCTCAGGTAAATGCCTTCGTCCTGACGAGCACCAACGGCCGCCTTCGATTTTCAAAGTTGCAGAAAATAATTGCCAGGATCTCAGTTGATTAATCTCACCTGCACGGCCAGCAGTGCGAGTAACGCCGACGCAAATGTGCTCAACATCATGGGTGATCGTCGATGTGCAAAATCTGCCATTTGAATTGAACGGTTGAGTCCGCGGCTCCTTATATTGGTCGAGCACTTCCTGCACGTTACACGTCCCGATAGAAAATTCTCGCACATGATTTTTGCAACATAGTGATCAATATTGTCATTTTTCACTCTCATAATTGCAGTGGTTGCACTTCCTGCAACCGCCGTTTTGATTTTTTCGCTTCAATGTATTGTGATGAGCGTTGCACATATTTTCACGTTACTTTTCCGTATGTTCTGACTATCATGTACGGTTATCATTTTTAAAGTTGCCTTGGAAAGAGTGTTTTCACGGCAACAATAATCAAAATGAAATTTAGTCAGTTAAAGTTTTTTTTTTGTCAAAGTTTTTCATTTACTCAATCTAATTATTTAATTTTCTTTTTCTAAAGCGAATAGATTTTCTAGGGATTTATGCAACCAAAATTGAAGCTTCTTCAAAGGCAAGAAGAATTGTCTGCAACATTTGATTTATTTACGTATTCTCAATTCAACAATATTTTCTTTTTAACCATGAATTATTAAACGTGTGAAGCAAACGGCCAGACACACAATTTCAAAATTTAGTTTCGAAAATTTTGCAAAATCGTGCACCATCACCGTCACTGAGAGGAAGTCACGTATTCCAAAACATTGTTTTGCAAAAACTGAGGCTCACTCGCTTGCTCGTCATCATCAATCATTCTCTTGCATTTTGAAATCGTTTTGAATAATACAAATTGTGAATTGAAAAAAAGGAAGACTGCAGAAATTTAAAAGATTACATTACAAAGTAATAATGAAATCAAAAATAATTTAAACAAAATTTATAATAATAAATTGCCACGTGCAAATAAGACATGATTAAATAATTAATTTGCAGAGAGATCAAATTTTCCTCATTTATAATTATCATAAGACAGACGAAACCAGAAGAAAATGTTTGAAACTTTTCCGTAAATGTAAAATTCCTGTGATGATTTGAAGAAATAAAAATTTATTCCTCTGATTTTGGCGTACTTCGGGGAATTGATGAAAGCGTGTATCAGTTGAATAAGTGATCTTTCAAGCCTGAATAAAAAATAAGCAACCCGCTTGACACTTTTGCTGCGCGGGTTGCATAGTAATGTTTTTATTTTACCGTCACTCGCAGGAAGCTAGATTTCAAGATCATCCGAGTTTAAATTTTTGCTCGTGCGCGCCGGCAACATCTATCATTCTTTGTGTGTGGAAAAAAACAAAGTACTGTTAATTTCAATATTGATATTTTTGTTGTAAAAAAGTAATCGAGCGAAAATTAGTTAAACAAAACAAAATTTAAATTCAAATTATTTTCGTTAATCACTTTTTTTTTAATATCGCTGTAAATATTATTTTAAACAGGCAGTTCTTCGTATCAATCTGCATGTGAACGAAACGTGACTCACTATTTTGAAACATTTAAAATTGTGAAAAATTGTGCATCGCTAGCAGGAAGTCACGTATTCTAAAACTTTTTTGTTTTTCCACAATATGAGTCTCGCTCGCTCGCTCGCTCGATGGTCATCATCAATCACTTCCTTTCTCTTGCATTTAGAAATGGTTTTGAAATAAAATATGCAACTAAAAAAGAAAGCTGGCGCAAACGTTATAATACCCAGTTTGCTGGGAAATTTTTGTTTTTAATGAAGCGAAAATATTGTTTGAATATTAATTTGAATAAAAGGAAGAAATAAGAACAGAATGTTGCAAGAGCTCAAAATAAATAAATAAACAATCACACAAATAAGAAATAAACAAAATTAGCGACATTTTAATTGACTTTTATGAGGCTCATCGTATTATGCTTTAATGATGGAATATTATGTATTGTGAAGAATGAAATGAAAAAATTCGAATTTTTCAAACTTTGTTCACCTCTGTGACAATGAGCAAGTCAATGTTGTTCTGTTGATTTAAAACAAATTTTTACTCGCAAAGATATTTTTTACATTAGAAAGTTTCATATCAAATTATGAAAAAAATATTATAACAATTTTCAATCTTGACAAGATAAGATAATCAAACACTATTCCATCCTAAATGTTCTCAATGATCAACTGCGCCGCCTTGCACAGCTGTCAAGCTGGTTGCCTAACTGAACAAACTTCTAATGAGGAAATTCAGTCTAAGCTAATCAAAACAAACATTTTTTTAAATTCAAATTAAAAAATGCGATTTTACAATGAGAAATGTAATGTATAATGAGATTAAGTCTATTATGTGTGTTTTTCCTTTCACAAAAACAATTCAAATGTTTCACGAGTACAACTCTGGCAATTTATTAATATTCAAAATAAATTTAACAAAGAAAAACTACAAAAATAAACCATCTTTCTCTGCACCCCACTTCCTTTCTACCAGTAAAAATTTAAGGCACTTTTATAGAAAAAAGTCTGACGAGAACAACAGATTTCAGGGCGTCACATTCCAGGGCGTGAAGGTGCCAGGCTCAGGTTCAGGGAACTGAAACGATTGATATTAAAAATTAAAACCAAAGACGAAAAAAAATTGAGGTTGAAAAGGTGAAATTACCTTTTGGGTGAACCTGTCCTGACAGGCCATCCTGATCTTGGCGGCGGTGGCGGGCGAGTCGAGGCGGAAGGCGCCCTTCAACCCTGAGTCCGCCCTGGCCGAGGCGACGGCGTTCTTGATGGCGAAGAAGACGGAGGCGGCCAGGAAGAGTGGAGGTTCGCCCACCGCCTGCACGACAAAGGTCATTAAAAGGGGGTCAAAGGGAGCGAGAAGGGGTGCCGACCTTGGAGCTGTAGACGGCGCGGGGGTTGGGGGCGCCCCTGAGCAGGGACACGTTGAACTCGGCGGGCACGTCGGCGAACCCTGGCACCTTGTACATGCCAGGGCCGCGCGAGTACAGGGTGCCCTGAGGGCTGTACACCACCTCCTCCAGGGTGAACATGCCGTAGCCCTGCACGAAGGCGCCCTCGATCTGCCCGATGTCCAGCGCGGGGTTGATGCTCTCGCCCAGGTCCATCACAATGTCCGTCTGGATTACCTGAATTTTCATCAAAAAAAAAAAGAAATTTTAAGGTCATTGCACCTGACTAAATTCAAAAAGAAAAAACGAAAAATGATTTTTTTTAATGCAAATTTCCATCATAAAATAAAATAATCGAATTAAAAAAATCAATTCCAATCTCTTTCATTTTTAATAACCTTCAAAAATTAAAATAAAATGAGGGTGAAACTTTTTATTTTTCATAAAACATGCATAGATATGATGCGAATTGTCTATCTGGATTTTGAGATCCATCTTTTTTAGAAAATGCAAATATTATTAATTTTTTCTCAATTGAATAAAAAACCTACTTTTTCCTGAAAAAAAAAATCGTTTCTGCGCATTGTATTTAAAAAATAATCAACAACCAATTATTAAACTGGTTGATTTGTTTCAAAATACAGAGATTCATAAGAAAACATGCTTTGGCAAAATATAAGTGGTTCTGAATGATGATAAATATTTTCCAGTCCTACCTGGTGGTCTCCGGTGAGGCAATCGACCTCGACCTCAGCACAGGCGGCGCCGTAAGTGAAATAGTTGAAGGCCTTGCCAGTCTTTGTCTTCCAGTCAAAACCAATGTCTGGCGTCCTAGAAAATGACGAATATTCTTATAGTGGTGTTGAAGAATCGTTTAAATAAATAATAATTAAGCCATTTACAAATAAAAATTGCTTTTCGAATATTAAATTATCTTTTTCATCTATTCTAATCCTTAATTTTGTTGGTAGGGCTGCAAAGAAAATGCACCGTTGGCAAGCTGATATTGTGAGGAATCGATTGGTGTCCAAAAAGGTCAAGGCCACCGCGAGTTTCGCTAAGGAAACACCGATTTCAGGATTGAAGCGATTTCATTGGCTCAAAACGTTCCCCCACCACTAAATCCAATCTACTTTAACATAATAATACACATTGACGGAAAGGTCAGATCACAAGGATTTTATTGGTGACCAAAGGTCAAGGTCACAGCCAGATAAATTCAGGAAGCTAAGCTACGAATTAAAAGTCACTGAAATTTTCTGAGATAAGACCAGCAATTTGATGTATGTGAAATGTTATGCTGTTTTAGCCTAAACAAGTCCCTCTCTTTCCAAGCTATCTACCTAAATAAATAAATAAAATAAATAAATTCAAAGCAATCTACTTACGCATGGAAGCCTGTGGCGGAGAGGCTGACTCTGTTGAAGTAGGCGGCGCTCACCCACTCCTTCCACTTGCCCTTCGGATTGGCTGCCCTGTACGGCTCGAGCCGCTTCAACAGAACCTCGCAAGCGTCCTTGAGAGAAAAAAATTACATTTCCCACTCAATAAATTTAAGTTTGTCTTGTGATTACAATAATGGCCATGCCGTTGAGGTCGGAGCCGGCGCTGGCGGCGGTGGGGGACGTGTTGGGCACTTTGTCCGTCGAGGTCTCACTCACGTAGACGTCGACCTCGGGCACGCCGAGCGCCCTGCTGGCCACCTGCACCATCTTGGTGTGCAGGCCCTGGCCCATTTCGGTGCCGCCGTGGCTGATGAGCACCGAGCCGTCATGGTAAATGTGCACCAGCGCCCCCGACTGGTTCAGGAACTTGGTGGTGAACGCGATTCCGAACTTAGTCGGCAACATGCTCAGCCCACGCTTCTTCCACCGGTTCTCTCTACAAATAGCAATATTCAAACAAAATAATTATCATTATAATATTTAGAACAAATTAAATTTTTTTAATGCAAAATTAAACATAAAAATTTTCCACCAACAATATGTATTAAAATTGTGCAAAACGTCAGAGTAAAATAAATTTAAAACAAAATTCACTGAAGAAACTTTTCTTAAAATAGAATTTATAGTAAATTGTACATTTTTCTTTTGTTCAAATTTAAAAAAAAAAAAACTAAGAATTAATTTGTTAATTTTCTATCAAGTCAACTTTAAACAGCCAAATTACGTAATTTGCACCTGTTGAATTTGTTGACTTGTTTCCTCCTGTTGGCGTAGTCGGACTTTTGTTCGCACTCGTCCCAGCAGCGCTGCAGGGTGCAGTTGTCCAGCTGCTGGTTGTAGTGGGTCACGTCGCCATCCTGGTACAGGTTCAGCCTGCGCACCTCGGCAGGGTCCTTGCCCAGAAAGGTGGCCACGTCCTCCACATAGTTTTCAGCCAGGAACATGGCCTGGGGGCCGCCAAAGCCTCGGAAGGCCGTGTTGGAGGGTAAATTGGTTTTGCAGACAAAACCTTCTGTCTCGATATTGGGGATGTTATACGCGTTCTCCATGTGGAACACCGCCCTGTCCATCACCTGAGGTCAAAGGTTAAAAAGTTAAATTTGAATAAAAGTGAAAAGTTACAGAGCAAGAGAGGTCGACGGAGCAGCCGGCATTGTTGAACATGGTCATTTTGCACGCGTGGATGCGACCCTGAGAGTCGAAGCCAACCTGGTAGCGGCCGCGGAAGGGGTTGCGGCCGCCGGTGGCCACCATGTCCTCATCGCGGTCCAGCATGCAGCGCACAGGCCTTCGAAGTTTGTGCGCGGCCAACGCCACCGGCAGGGCCACCAAAACCCCTCGTGACTCTTTGCCCCCGAAGCCACCCCCGATCCGCTTCACCCGGCACGTCACCCTGTTCAGCGGCACCCCCACCATGTGCGCCACCAGTTTCTGTAAAACCACAATCAAGAAAATTGCATATACAATTATTGACACTTGAGGGGGTCATTGACCTCCGTGACTTCTCAATTAGAAAAGACTAATTCAATTTAGGATTACACTTGAGAGCAATGCCCTAAATGAGATCTTTCTAACCATTTGAGCAATTGACTAGGTTAAAGGTCATGGAGGTCAATGACCTTTTTGACAGAAAATTAAGGAATTGATAAATGTTTTCTTGGTATTAAATTTTTATACCTGAATTTCAGCAGGGTTCTGCGTCGAGCAGTAGATCTCGAGCTCCTCCTCCTTGGGCAGGGCGAAGGTGCAGTGGGTCTCGAGGTAGAAGTGGTCCTGGCCACCCATGTGCACTTCGCCGCTAAGTTGGTGCTCAGCCTTCTGCAGAGCAGCGCCAAAATCATTTTTAGTTAGCCGAGGCTTGAACTGCTCAAAGAAAGAGTTCTCCCTGATGGCGTCCTGCAAACAACCTTTGAGTGCCTTGAGCGACCTTTGAGACTATCTTTGGCCTACGTCAATGGTGATGATGACCGGCGTCAGCTCCTCGTACTCGACCTTGACCAGTTTGGCAGCGCGCTGGGCAATCAGCTGGTCCTCGGCGACCACAGCGCCGATCACCTGACCCTGACTCGTCACCTTTAAAAACAAAAACCATGGTTGAAATGAAAATATTCAAAAATATAGTTACGCTTTTACCGTTTTGGAGACGAAAATCTCCTCGTCGTGGATGATGGCGCCGTGCTTGTTGACCTCTGGAGAAAGGTCCTGGGCACTGAAGAAGGCGTGCACGCCCTCCAGAGCCAGGGCGGCTGAAGGGTCAACCTTGCGAAGGTTGGCGTGCGCCTTGGTGCTCAACACCAGGGCCAAGTAAAGCTCACCTGCCACCTTCGGAATGTCATCACAGTACACGGCCTCACCTGAAGTAATGCGGGAGGGTTAGATTTAACCTGAGGAGGGCCAAAGGTCGTCTGTCACCTGTGGCCTGTTTGATTCCTGACAGGTGCGTTACGTTGCGGCCAACCAGGTCGTGCAACTGCTGGTCCTCAGGGACCACCTCGTAGTACTGGGCACTCTTGATTGGTAGAGATTGGAACTGCCTGGTGGCGCTCAGGGCCTCCTCAGGTACGCTACCGAGAGTCTGCTGCACGGTCAGGTAGAACTTGTAGAAGAAGCTCAGGGTGAGCGACCTGCGGAACTGAATCATGCCTCCAGGAGCGCCAGGGTGCAGAGGGATTTCAGACACCAAAAGGTCCAGGGCAGCCTCCAGGGTCTGGTCATTCCATTCGCGACCCTGGAGAGCTGCTGAAGTTTTGGCTGCCAAGATGGTTGTCGGCGCCATCCCTCCAAACGCCACCTGCAGAGACTCAACCTTCTGAAATTTAAAATCATCAAACCGGGAAGGAGGGTTAAAAGGTGATGATGAACCTTATTCTGATCTAGGGTCAGGTTGAAGGCGGCGTTGACAATGGCGATGTCATCGTCGCGGCGCTTGGCCTGTTTGAAGGCCACAAAGTGCTGGTTGGCCCTGGTGAAGGGCACCAGGACGCTCAGGAGGATCTCGTCAGGAGCCACCACGTTTTTGCGGTACCCTGTGAAGAAGCTGCCGTCCATCCGGACACGCCTCCTGCCCTTGCTGGCACTGGCAACCTCCAGTTCGCAGCCAGCGGCCAGGAAGATTGGGTTCAGGTCAGAGATGGGGCTGCCAGTCATGATGTTTCCTCCCAGGGCCGCAACGTTCCGGATTTGCTTCCCTGAAAAACATGACCTCACAATGTGAAATCAAGATGGCGGCAGAATCACCCCTTAAAAAACCAAACCGACCTGCAAACCAGTGGAGCATGTCCGTGATGGCCTTGAACACCCTGGTTTCGGCCTCAGGTCGCTCGGCCTGCTGCCGCTTCAGCGCCACCTCTACCTGCGAAAGGGTTGCGGCGGCACCAAATCGGACGCCCTGACCTGCGAGTACTTCAACTTGGGTCAGTTCAGGGACCAGGCTGGGCTGGATGAGCACCGGGTAGTGGCAGTTCTTGAACTTGACCTCGACGCCAACCTCAGTGTTGCCCACCACGATTCTCGCGTCAGGGTGCTGCTGCTTCAGGGTCAGCAGCTCCTCCAACCTGGTGGGGCGGTGCCACGTGACCCTGGCACCTTTGAAGGTCACCGAGTGCACGTCTAGGGCGTCGTCCAGCTGCAGCTCTGGCGGGAAAATCGGTTCCTGCGATTCAAGATAAAATTTTAAGGAAACATTTCGTGAGATCAATTAAGGTCACCGACCTGGGAGGGGTCGTAGGGGGCAAAGTGGTGGGGCTGGACGAGTTTGGCGGTGACGTCGTTGGTGGTGGCGTTGCCGAGGCGCCGGCAGCACTGGTCGCCCTTTGCGCAGGCGCCGTCGGAGGGGGGCGTGGCCAGCCGGGCGCACTCGTGGCCCTCGAGGAAGGTGCGGAAGCCCTCGAGGATGGGCCTGTAGCCGGTGCAGCGGCACAGGTTGCCCTGGAAGGCGACCTCGAGCTGGTGCGGGTCGGGGGTGGGCGTGGCCCTGAGCAGGGCGTACATGGACATGACGATGCCGGGCGTGCAGAAGCCGCACTGCGAGCCGTGGCTCTTGGCCAGCCGCTCCTGCACCGCGCTCAGCCGCCCCCGCGACGACCCGATGCCCTCCACCGTGGTCACCGCCTGCCCGTGCACCGAGCACACCGGCGCCAGGCACGCGTTCACCGCCAAGTGCCTGCCAAAGCAAATTTTATTTCAAATTTAAAAAAAAAATTAAATTAAATTACGAAATTTGGCGGGATATGCGGTCGATCTTGGACACCATGACCGTGCAAGCGCCGCAGCCTCCTTCGGCGCAGCCCAATTTGGTGCCACATAATCCAACTGTTTACAAAAGTCAAGGAAAAGTACTTTTTTTTTAATAATTAATTTTTTTTATTTTCCAATAATAGCGATTATGGGAATGAAAAAAATTATATCAGCAGAATCTTTTTGTAACATATTTTTAAATCTTTTTTTGTTTATGTCCAACAGAAAATTAATGTATTTTTTATTACTTTCTCTGCAACAGAATTTCAATATTTTTGATAACTTGTTTTTTATTAATTGGGACTCCCAGCATACTCGAATCTAAAATTAGCTCAATATTATTTATTTTAAATTAAGAGTTACATAACAAGAATTGCTGGTATATTTATTTATAGCGACGCTCGTGCCCTTTCGCCAGTTAATGTGCAAAAAAAAACTAAACCTGTTCCTTGCAACAAAATCGCCTACAAGCGAAAGCTTTCCGAATGTAAATTCTTTATCGCGTCTCCTGCCCGGATTCAACGGCCAAATTTATATTTATAGGCACGTGCAGCATTTCCGCAGGTGTCTGTCTCTTTCTAAAATAAAAAAAGACGTGTTACGTAACCTGTTTGAATGTCTGAATCATCCGAATTTTTTCCAACGCGTGCGTCGCATTTTTTAATCAAACGAGGCATTAAACGAAAAATGCGCGTTTGCATTTGATAAGAGGGAAATTGAATCTGTTTAATGCACGCGGGATTATTATTTTGAGCTGATTAAAGAAAGCTGTTGTCGCCGAGTCAATCTCGGGTCGATCGTTATCTTTTTAATAAGGGTACTCGGAGGTCGAGATTGTTCCGAGCAAGCAAGAATAAAATTTGAAAATGCTCATTTTGGATTCTCTAACAAGATTTTCAATTGAAATTGGGAGAAAATTGGCCACGGAGCTGGAAAAGATTTTTACATAATAAAAGAAAATTCTGAAAGTTAGCAAATTTAAAAAAAAAACAATATTATGTACAAAATTGACCAATTATAGTTTAAAAAGGGCAAATTGTTTAATTTTCGGCGTAAATTATTTTGAGAAATATTTAAGAAAATTGCTGAAATAATTTGTCTTGGCTGAAAAGGATACGTTTGTTGCGCAGATAATAGAGCAAAGTCCATTCGGGGTCGGCGTTTTCCTCCACGACCTGCCACAACACAGAGAATCATTTCAATAAAATTTTACAATTTTCACGAAAAATCTCCAAAAAGAATCTAACAAGGACGGCAAATATTTGCTTGCGGTTGAAAAAAAATATTTACCACTGGCGAGATAAAAAAAGAGCCGCGGGGATTGAGAGAGGAAGCGACACACATGTGACTTGTTAATTGTTTTTTATTTTTCCAATCTGCATTTTATTATTATAACGACGGGACTGAGTCCCATTGACAGGTTCTGAAGTTTTTTTAGATTATTTTTTTCAGAGGGGTAAACATAAAAAAAGCAGGGAGAGGATAAAACAGGTTTCGGCGAGGCCGGAGAAGAAACCTCGTGACTCTCTCCAGAAAAAAAAATAACAATCGATTCATCAAACTAGCGTTATTTATTTCCAAGAGTTGCATAACGAGTTTGTCTGATTTGTATTCCGAGCAGCGAATTGATCTGGTCAGTCAAGTGAGTGAGGAGGAAATTAAATTTAAAACTTTAAAGTGACACAATCAGTTTGGAGATTTCTTTTTTTTCTCAAAAATTTAATTAAAAGTAATTATTGTTGAGGCACGAGAGTGAGGAGAGGCGATAAGATAAGCGCGAATTAATTACCTTCCTGCCGTTGACGAAGAAGACGAGTCGCGTGTTGTCGCCCATCGTGGCTATCTCAATCTTTTGCACTGGAGAGGAAGAAAGAAATAATAAGAAGTTGCCGAGAGACGGAGGAGCGACGACCCCCGCCACGTGAGGGGAGGGGAGGGGGCAGCGGGCGCCGCCACTCGCATTGAGTGAGTCAAGACCATGCACCGCTCGCTGCTGCTGCTGCGTCTGCGGAAACTCAAACCGCCAAATTCACAAACGCAAAATGCATCAAAAGACGTGAGTAAATTTTTTTTATTCAAATTTCAAATCTAATTAATTTTTTTTTAATATAAATTTTTTTTTAAACATTCCAAAGCTTAATTGAATAAGTGGTGACCTAGAAAAGAAAAAGGAGTGTCGCTTAGCTCGACCACCGAGTTTGCATAACTCGCAACGCTTTTGTTTCGCGCAACCTCCAACATCAATATTTACCAACAATATTTCATTTCTACGGTTTCTTTCCGTGGGTCGATTGATTTTATGATTAATTTTCAAACAATTTCCAATCTAAATCGGATTTTATTTTTCGTTTCTAACAAATAAGTTTTCTTTTGATTTGGAGCGATTTGGAGTCGACACGTCGCTTTCAAAGGAATGCGCGCCGCCCACCCGTTTAAGTCAGGCGACGCACTTGAATGGCCATCACGCACTTCATTGTGGCAGATTAAGGTGGTGTGTTCATATTTATTCTCGTCGCGGAGTCAGCGAAGAGAAAGCCTGAAAATTTGACCTGAACCCACTTACACGGATTGATTATTGAGAATTTATTTCTTAATGTTGAGTTCATTTTTTTTATCAATGAAAAATTTAAAACTTAAAGAAATTCAAAGAAATTTAGGAGTATTTTATAAAAATGAATACTTGGTGAACTGTTTAAGTAATATAAGATTGTAAATCTGACTTTATAGAATTATAAAAAAAATCATAGCCCTATAAATGTATAATTGGCAAGTTTTGCCTTTTTTAGTCTTTAAATTGTTGAAATATCTCAAAATTCAGTTGGTAAATGTCTGAAATAATTACACCATACGTAAAGTGGAGTCACAAAGAACCGATTGATGACCAAAAAGGTCAAGGGCATCGGAAGATTTCTTAGGAAAACAGCAATTTTAAGAATTAAGCGATCTGATTGGTCCAAACGGTTCCCCCACCACCAAATTCAAATCTGCTTAAAACTATCTTTGGAAAGGTCAGGTCACCATGAATCGATTGGTGACCAAAAAGCTATTCATCTCACATTGTAAAGCCAAAGTTTTATCAAACATAACTATGAGGCCATTAAAAAAAAAAATAGCACAAATCTCCGTTTTACAAAAAAAGTCTTAATCGTAGTTTATTTTCATTAATTTTTTTTTTTTTATAATTTAGTGTCCATCTCAACATAGCAATTGTCAAAACAGATACAAAAAAATGTGTTATTTTTAAACAGTATTTTCTCAAAAAGCCGGCTGGGTAAAAATCTGGAAGGAAAATACTTATCTCGCAATTAGTAGAAAACTAAAAACCCTCAATTTGGCTGTGAAACTTGTTTCTATATCTTTACGATCCTCTTTCCTTGTCAAACTCGAAGATAATAGTGAACACACCACCTTAATCCGACCTTGACACTCCCACCGACCGCAATCACCAACAATTAAAACCTCTCCTCTTCAGCGTAATCGTTGCAACAACAAACGCCTCGAGTTTTAATCACTTGAAATTGTTACCATTTAACTAATCAGTCTGTGTGTCGCTGGGGGCCTCACGCGTCCACCGGCCGCTCAACAATGGCCCTTTGTTGCGGCAGCTGCGTCGCCTCCCTGATGCGCGCCGTCGTGAACTTTGACACCGCGTAGTTGTACCTGCACACGCCCCTGAATCCAAAGTCAAAATCAATTAATTTAAAAAAATCAAAAGTTGCGAAAAATCCGCACCAGTAAATGAAGGTGGAGAAGAAAAAGGAGGCGAATCCGACGTGGGTCGCCCTGCTGGCCCGGCTGGTGCTCATGAAGTAGACTAGCCCGCCGGCGAATCCCGTGCCGATTCCGTACAGGAACGAGCTGCGGAAGCACGGGATCTGCGACACGTCCCGTCCGAAAAGATACAGGCTCTGGAAATTAAAACGAAAACCGGCGTTTACAAAAGCAGAGAATCACATGGTGCGAGGAGTGTGGTTATGTAACACGAAAACTACGAAAAGACGTGGATTTCATTCAAGGAAGTTCAATTAATATGAAATTTAAGGTCTCACGAAGTTTTTAGAACCTTTGGTGTGCGAATTAAATGCAGAATCTTTCAAAAACACAGACCTTTTTCTCGGAATCATCCTGATCGGTGCTCATGTTTTTTTTTCGTGTTTATTTTTTACTCTGACAGGGGTGTATGGAAAGGAGCCGGCATTCGGATGAGTAAATTTACTGATTATTTGAGACAAGATTCAGATTTCTGGCCGTTTAAGAAGCTTAACTGATTCAATATTATTACTAGGGTTGCTTAGTATCAGAAATGAGGATTTAAAAATAAATTACTTGACACAAATCTCTGATTGTTGAGAGACTCCTTTATGAACACCAATCGGTGCGAATTCGAGCACCGCGATACCACCGTTACAAAGTTCAACTGCCTTTCAGAATCCCTTCGAGAGCACTTTTAGAATGAATAAAAACACTTGAATCTCATTGATAGATAATAAAAAATTTGAAAGAATCACTTTTTTCTCAATTACAATCAAATAAAGACAAAATTCTATTCCCGATTGAAAGTTTCTTTCCGTTCGGTTGGCACGGCAGGTGTCAGTTGTCAATCAAAGGATCACCACGGGACAAAAACACAACAAACGACAAATGACCTGACCTGAATTGCGTCGGAAGTGTGGGGAAAATTATACGACTCGGATTGGAACAAAAATCGCGTGTCCACGTCGGATGGCCTGTTGGTGATCGCGTCTCCGAAGGTTGGTCTAAAAGTCTAAAGCTGAAACCGCAAAAATCTTTGACGAAAAAAAAATCGAATGCGGCGGTGGTTTTGCGGTCGAAACGCGGCAGGGCGTGTCCTGTTTAGCACCGAAATGTGATTAATTATGTTCAATTTGGCCGCAGGTGGAGTTCAAGGATGCGATGGCGGCGCTCGACCCGTACGAGCAGCAGCTGCTGGCCGTCTTCGAGAGCTGCTGCGAGGGCGTGCCGGGGGCCCTGGACCCCCGCGGCCTGACCGCCCTCTGCGAGAAGCTGCAGCTCGAGGACCAGACGCCCCACCTGCTCGAGCGCCTCCTCGGCCGCCCCTCCAACGCCTCGCCACGCAAGGTCACCTTCCCGCAGTTCAGGGACGCCCTGCTCGCCCTCCTTGCCGCCGGTGTCTCCTCCTCGGACGACGTCGACGCCTCCCCAGGTCGGTCATTGCAAATCTGAAGACATTATAACGAATTAATTAAGTTTGTTGGCGCAGAGAGGGAGGTGCGGCCCAAGTTTGTCTACGGAAAGAAAAAGTACGGACGCAGGTCAAAACCTGAGGATGACGACAGCGGGTCCGAGTCGGAACCTTCGAGTCCAGTCAGCGAAAAGGTTGACTGACCTTTGAGTCTGCAGGAAACTTCCTTATTGACAATAGTCATTGAAATTTTCAATATTTGTTGTCTGATAATGGCCAACAATGGCTCCTATTGTTGGAAAGACTAGATCTGACTATGTCAATGAGAAGTGTTTAATATTTTGGTTTTATTTATTTATTAATATTTGAGAAGAAATCAAATTTAAATTTTTTATTTAACATATTAACTCAATTTTGAAAATTACTTCTTGTATTCCTTGATAATACAAATTAAGAATGATAAAAGCACTGATAGTTCAATCTTTTGTGTTCAGATAAGATCACCACTTGCTCACTTTCCACTTAATGAATGCCACTTTGGCTAATTGCAGGAGAGTTCAACCAAAATAATGGCCGAGTCCGCCAAGAAGAGGAAAACCACTAGTCAGAGGAGGTCCTCCTCCAGTCCGTCCGAGAGTAAATCTTAGATTGATTTATTTTTTATTTTACTAAATATTTTTCCGACAGACTGGCTGGGCGAGTTGTCGGAGGAGGAGGAGTGCGTCCGCGCAACGTGGGAGCAGCTGGCCGCTGACGGCCGCCTCGGCCACCAAGAGCTCAAGTTGGTGTGCAAGGCCACGGGGGTGGAGGGCGTGGCCGCCGACGAGTTGGTCGAGCAGCTTTTCGCGCGCCTCGGCGTCCAGCCCGACTCCAAAATCAGCTTCGAGCAGTTCCTGCGCTTATTCCGTTCTGGCCTTGCGCCATCTCAAGATGACTCGGAACATTCCACGGTAGGGCTTAAAGGGGGTTGTGATCTTCAAAAACTGAAATTTGGTTTACTTCAGAACCTGATAAAGCTGTTTGAGGGGGTTCCAATGGTATGCAGATCTTGAAATTCGGACAAAAACTGCTAGAGTTATGCAAGTTTGTTAATCCGCGGCCATTTTTCGAACGTGGCCGCCTGTCTTATTACAAAAGGGAATTTCTTCTCCATTTATTGCTCAAAATGGTCCATGTTGCATACTGTTGGAATCTTCTTTTCATGCTCTACCTGGATATTTAAATGTTTTTGACAGTTGATAAAAGTTCGCTTTTAAAAGAAATCAATTGATCAAAGTTTATTAGGACTTTATTAAAAAAAAATCAAAATACAATTTAAATTATCTTCAAAATCATTTCTGGGCGCAAAACAACAATTTTACAGTTCAAAATTTATAAAATATTTCAGGTCGAGCACCACAGAAACTTGTCATTTGACGCGGACAGCTCGTCCAAGGAGCCCCTTTACATTTCCTTGGACTCTTTTAACTCAGGGTGCGTTTGACTTTAAAATTATTTTCCTCGTCTATAATAAAAGTTTTGAATTCAAAGGATGGTGACCTCAGAGCAGCTGTTGGAGATGTGGGAGGCGGGTGGGGTGGCGGGGGCGGCGCGGCTTTTGCATGACCTGGGACTGGGGACGGCGGCGCGGCGGCCGGTCAGTCTGAACGAGTTGGCCGCCGCGCTTGACGAGGAGGCCAAGGCTTTGGCCGACGAGCAGAGCCACGACCGACCCCCCAACCACCGCCTCCAGCCCGAGAGCAACCTCCTCTCCGTCCTGCAAGCCTCCGTCCTCATCTACCAGGCAGAGGCAAAGTGTCTCAAGTATGATCAACATTTTGCATTCTGAAAGATACAAAAATTTGACATATTTTCCTGTTAATTTTATTACATTTTATGTTTTTAATATATTTCAAATCCAAATAACAAGCACATTTTTTATCGAAATATTCTAAAATTTGTAAGTAAATGGATTTGATTTTTTATGAAGAATCTTTTATCAAAATAAATGGAAATCTTTGTTCATATTTTCTTTTAATTGCTAATTTTAATGCACAAGATTTTTTTTAAAATTCCGATTTTTAGGAGCTCACTGGAGCAGACGTTGTGCGAGCGGAACAAATTGAAGCAGGATTTGGCCGAGGCGAATGAAAGGGCGTCGCTGTTGGCGCAGGAGGTCGACGACCGGCACGCGCGCCTCGAGGACTCGTACAAGCAGCAGATCCGCGCCCTTGAGCTGAAGCAGCAGGAGGAGGTGCGGGGGCTGCAGGCCGAGTTGGCCGGCGACCGAGAACAACTGGCCACCCTCACCACCGGCCTCCAACTGCGCATGGACCAGATGCAGGCCGACGAGTCCAAACTCAGGGCCGAGGCCACCACCTGGCTCAAGGTCCGAAATTAATCGGGAAAACTAGAAATTATTTATAGGGGAGGCAGAATTTTATTTCAATTATGTCCTGGAAATTGAAAATTTGAAATTAATCAAATTTTGAAGTGTTAAGGATACTTCTTGTGCCGATCTAGTGTTTTCTCTTCAGAATTTAAGATTTTAAATTGATAATATTTCTGTCCAGGTTTTTGGCAAATTGAAAAATTTACACCTTTTTAGCAGATTTTAGTTTCCTTAAGATTTTAAATTTGAATAAAACCTTGCAGAAGTCTGAGTTGTTGGAGAAGGAAAATGGGCAGCTGAAGGAGTTGCTGGCCGAGAGCGACGAGGCCAAGCAGCACCTGCAGAAAAGGGTGGACACCATCCCCGACCTGCAAATCAGGGTAGGATCTCTTTTTTCCCCTCAATTCTTAATTTTCTATTTGAAACTTTGCTGCAGCTGAGTGAGTTGGAGCGGGAGCAGGCGGAGGTGCAGGCGCAGCAGGTGCGGCCGCTGCTGCAGAAGGTGGAGCGGCTGACCCTAGAGATGACCTCACTCAGGGACACCAACGACGAGCTGACCCTGCGCCTCGAGCAGCTGCCCAGGGCCTCGAGAGAGACCGAGGAGGCTGACCTGGTCAGTCCAAGGGGCAGCGGCAAGCGCAAGGGTCGCCCTTCCGACGCCTGCTCCGAGGACAGCTCCGAGGAGGAGACGCGGCCGCAGGGCAAGCAGCGCAGGAAGGCCCTGGCTCAGGTCAATATTTTTATTTTTGGATATTATTTTAAATGAGAGAGTAAAAAAAGCAACGCATTTGTTGAAGTTTTTCCAAATGCGGGTCAAAATTTAAAGTTAATTTGAGTATTGAGGTCAAAGGTCACCAAGGTCAATGGTATTTTTTAATATTTATAAGTATAAATGAGTTTGTCCCAATTGGATTTGAATTTTAATGAAAAAAAAATTCATTTTGAGGACAAATCTTTAATGATGAGCAATTTTTTTTTTTAATTCAGGAATGTGAGGAGACGAAGCAGCTCCGTGAACGCGTGGCCGAGCTGGAGCGGAGGTTGGCCGAGTGCCAAGAGCGCTTGCAGGTGAGCGGCCCGTCGTAGAAAGGAAAAATTTCATTTTACCGTCTTCAAGTTTTTGATTTATTTTTGTGAGAGTGCAATAAAAGAAGCTGCGATCGACCAGAGTAAATAAATTTCATTGAGTTTAGTTTGGACCCGTCAGGTGCACTTCTCCCGTTTTTAAAAGATTAATTAATAATTTGCACCTGCACTCGGCCTGCACCGCTCAATTAACTCCTCGTGGCTTCTTTTCTGCTTTTATTTCTCTTTATCTTTATTTTGGTTCATTTGTCGTTTTCGCATGGCATGGCAGCAGCCACACTCGCCAGGGTTTCCGCCCAAACTCAAGCAGGTGATTCCTTTAATTGCCTTCCAAAGGAGAAGTGAAGTAATAAAAGTGTTTGTTTGCAAAGGTGTTCCAAGTGGTGCGCGCGCAGATCCTGGACGAGATCCTCGGCGATCCCGACCACTCGGACGACCACCCCTTGCTGCAGGAAATCTCGCGCCTCCAGACGCGCTGCCAAGACCTCACACAACTCCAAAAGGTGAATAAATCATTTAATTGTTCAATACTTGACTAATTAGGATAAAAGGATGATAAATTCAAAGGAAAGTTGAAACTCGAAATCATCAAAAAATGTGTAAGAATTTAGAATTTTTTACGATAAAGTAAGAATTAAATTTTAAAATAAAATCAATCAAAATTATTTTGATAAAGAATTATCAGACCAATGAGTTTGGAAGTTTAAGTTGAAACATTAAAAGTAATTACATTTTGTATACATATATTTTTTTCAATTTAATCACTTAGTACAATTAAATCGTTGATATGGAAATTGTTTACAAAGATTAGTAGTATTGTCGCCAATGAATGTTCTGTATTTAAGTCCACTAATATTTACCATCTTTATCATTAGCCCCGTTTTGTCACATTTATTTGCTGAACTATGACCTTCTTTGTAACCATTAGACGATGGAGGCCGACTTTGAGATGCAGCTGTGCGACGCCAAGGAGCTGACCACCCTGACGAGGGCCTCGTCCTCCCTTCCGTCGAGCCCCCGAAACGGCCAGGTGCGTTTTTTTTTTTAAAATTGTCTTTTTTTCCTCAAAGTGTAAGTTTAAATCAGGGCGACGGTCGGAGCGACTCGACGGAAGGATCGAGCAGCAGAAATGTGGAGCAGCTGGAGCAGGAGTGCCACCACCTGAAGGAGAACCTTGACCAGGTCAAGGTCGAGATCGTGCGGATCCTGTCAGACAAGGAGGCGTGTTCGCGTGAGAACTCGGCCCTCAAAGAGCAGATCTGCGAACTCAGCACCAAGGTCGAGGTCGCCACGCAGCACCCCTCAGACTCCTTCAAGGTAGAGAATTTTATTCTTAACAATAAGATAGATGTGAGGATCCGTTCAACCAGATTAATTAACACTAAATAAATAATTAAAGAACAGAAATTTGAGGAAGAAAATTACCTTTGGGCATTTATTTTTTGTACTCAATCAATCATTTCTCAAAACGTCATGTGGTGACCTTGACCGTTGGGTCACCAATTGATTTGGCGTGACCAAATCTTTCTAACGTTCAATGTTTTTGCAAAAAGCCAAGTTGAATTTGGCGGTGAAGAAGCATTCGGACCAATAAGATTGCTCGATTCCGTCCATTATTGCTGTTTTTTTTTTTAAAAAATCAAAGTGTTTTTCAATTATTTCATATGGCCTCAATATTATTATGATTTTGAAGAAATTATCATTTGTAATTCAAAGGATAAGAGTATTTGGGACCAAAATCTTTTGCGGAAAAAAATCAAATTTTTGTCAAAATGATTAAAGCTTTTGTGTTGTGCGCAGGAGGAGGAGGAGGACCGAGTTGCGCAGCTGGAGGGGCGGGTGAAGGAGCTGGAGGGGTGTCTGGAGCTGATGCAGGAGGAGTACGAGAAGTGCGAGGAGTACTGGCACCGCAAGCTGGACGACGAGCGGCGGCTCTTCGAGCTGGAACAAGAGGCCGAGGGCCGAAAGTTCGCCGAACTCGAGGAAAAGATCCAGGAGATGCTGCGGCAGGAGCAAAACAAGGGCCGCCTCTCGCCCATCGACGAGCGCGTCCTCCTCGAGCAGCAGGTCACTGACCTCGAGGCCGAGTGCGCCCACCTGCAGGACCAGCTGCTCCTCTGCAGGGCGCTCCTCAGCAAGGACACCCTGAGTAACAATTCTGCTCTAATTTTGCACAAAAAAAAAATTAATTTTATTTTTAAACAGGCACAAGTACACAGACAGAGGCCAAACCCAAGTTGGCTGCCCTTTTCCTGAGCTCAGGTACCGTCATCTCAAGCACCAGTGACAAGCAGATCCAGGCCAACCTGAGCGCTGTAATTCCTCAGAGGTTGAATTTGAGGTTTTTTTTATTCGGATTTCTTTTTGTTCAGGTGGAGCGGAATCCGTACGAGTTGATCTCGCCGCCTGAGTGGGTCAAGAGGCAGTACCCTGCCTCAGGGTTCAAAGGTCGCGCGCCTGAGCAGTCGTGCAGGGTGCAGCTGAGCGTGATGCAGGCCCTGAAGGAGCGGCTGCAGCAGCAGGACGTCAAGTGTCGCCGCTTCGAGACCGTCATCGCGCAGCAGCAGTTGCACCTCGAGCGCCTCCTACACCAGCACTCGGCCGAGGTGGCCGGTCTGCAGGCGGCCATCCAGGCCGGCCAGATGCGCCTCCAGCAACAGATGGTCATCTGTGAACAGCAGGTCGGTCCAAATGTTTTGAATGATATTTTTTTTTAAATTCCTAAAAAATATTCTGGTAACCTTGACCTTTGTAGTTAACATTGTCACTAACTGACTACTCGTGACCTGACCTTTCTAAAGATGTGTCACACTTAATGTTTTAAAATCGATAATAATTCGGTGGTGGGGGAACCGTTCGGACCAATGAAAACTCTTGATTCAAACAATCGCTATTTTCTTAATTCTGGTTCTCTAGTTTTCTCAACAGCCACTTCTTAATATTTTTCAGCCTCTTTTCCGACTCAAAATTAGTGATTTTCTCAAAACTGCGGCAATTTTTTTCAAAATGGCGGCCGAACGAAAAGTAGCCTTCCCGCATATCCCCGCAATCCTCTCGTCGAGGGCAACTCACTCATGAATAAAAAACCTATTTCTGACAATTGCAGATGGAGAAACTGGCGCAGACGGACATGATGGCGCGGGAGGTGTACCTGGAGAACGCGATGCTGACCAAGTCGGTGGAGCGGCTGGAGAAGCAGTGCATCTTCCTCTCGCAGCAGGCGCCTAGCTCGGCCTGACCCACCTCAACCGCGTACAAACCATAGTCACTTGATTGTGCCACCGCTATTTTTTTCCTAGGTTTAATTCAATTGAAGACGAAAGTGATCTCTCTCGAATTGACATTCCTGCAACGCGTGTCTTTGACTAATTAGTGCCTACAAAGGTCAAGGCCATTTGGGGGCGGGCAAAAGCCGCACCCCACTCGTCATGTATCTAAATATTTTTGTCGAAACTTGTTCTCGTTGTCGGCACAGCTAAGAAAGTGTGATCCTGTCCGAAGCATAACTAAACATTTCCCATGTAAAGCAATTTCATTAAGACAAAAGAGAGCGGCCTTGTTTGTCGCACAAGACGAATAAACTGAAAATTTATTGAAAGAAACTAATTCATTCTCATTTCAACAATTCAATCTATTATACAATGAATTTATTCAAGTTTTTTAAATCTGGATTTACAGTGAGCAGCGTTATCGTTGATTTTTCGTGTTTTTTTTTTTTTTTTAAGCAGGAAGTTAAAAAGCCACACATTCACGAAATACCTAGTCTGGCGTCTGGCAGGCGAAAGTTGAAACCACACAAACAAGGAAACTGACTGGGATCTTATCAGAAAAAGTATAAAATAAATCCCATCGTTTTTAATTCAGTTTGGTTCCGGACGCCGTTCCGCGCTGGCTGAGAAAATGGCCTTGCGGACGGTCACCTTGTTTGTCTTTGTAGGGATTTTCGTCTGCTGCGCCTCAGGTAGCTACCAATGAATCCGAACTTCTGTTCAGTAACCGATTTTAGTCCCATCTTTTTTTTTAACTTAATTGTTTTATAATTTTAATTACCCTCCGGCAAATTCAACTTTCCCCCCTAATTTAAAAACTTTGTTCGGGTAAAGCGAATCACCTGGAACTAATCCTTATTGGTGTTCCACTTTTGACACTTTTCTATTGATGTGGTGGGTCTAGCTGTGATGAAACAATTTAACGGGTTTCCTATTATTACATTTTTATTTTATACGGAAACTTTTTTACATAAAACGTTTCCCATATGAAATGTTGTTTTTTTTATCATTTGAATCAAAAATTTTACTAAGAAAATCAATTTGATTTTATGAAAAATGGTTGAAAATAAGGGGGAGAAAAATGATTGACTTGTATTTCTTTCTGTTTCGTTTTTCCATGTCCATGTTTTTCATATTTTTGAAATTTGATTTATTTACTCTAAAATAAAAAATTCTTTATCTCATTATCACCGATTTTCTTTTCTTTTTGTTTCCTAACAGTTTAAACAGTTTTATGACTTTTATTTTGCTATCCGCGGTCACGCTTCGCCTATTTTCACAGCAAAGCCGTAGGTTGCGTTAAATTACTTTAATTGAGCGCGCCGTTCACAATCTCATTCCTAAAAATAACTTCCCATGATATATTAATCATCCCAAATTTGACTAAAACCGGTTTCTGTAGATATTTAGCTTTCAATTTCATTGCATTTCAAACCTCTAAATTGCAAATAGGAACCAAGTTGCATAATTTGCCTTGTTGTCCGGTGGACGAAACCATATGTCACGATTGTACATCATCATTAAAATGCTACTGCACTTCATCTCGGAAGGACACCAATCTCGCTTGTAACAACGGAAATTTGAATCTGTACGACGGCAGGAGTGAGTAAAAATAATAAATTTTATCTATTTCTGAGGGACATTTGCAGGTGGCAGATTGATTTGCCCAAGAGAGATATTACCAGAGTGCAATGGAACGTGCGCAAAAAATATAACTCTTGGTGACTGCGGCTGCCCAGATTGCGTCGCTGCGATCAGGAAGAAAACTTGCCAATCTTTTCTGCCAGGACATCTGGAACCAGCAATCTCAGGTCGCAGGTATAATTTGAATTGAACTTCTAACATGGACCAACAATCACGCATTGGATTAATTTAGGGGGCCAAAAGACTGCCCATCCGACCTGAGCAAATGCCACAGTTGCACAAATCACCTTGACTGTTTCTGCCCTGCACTTAATCAAACCATCAAAATCGTCTGCAGCTCCTACGGCAACTTCCTCGACCTCTTCAACCCCCAAAGTGAGATTTTTTCACTCCCCGTTTCCTCCGTTGAAGTAAAAACTTGCATGTTTTGGCAGGTGGCCTCCCTCACTGTCCACCTGTGAGTCTTGGGTCCACAAACTGCTCCTCCTCGCCCAGTGATGGCAAACGAGCTTGGTGCCGAAGCCCTGGATTTTCACCTGAGACAACAACAACTACGACGACGACGTTCTCCACCACCACCACTAAACAAATCTTTACAGAGGTTGAAACATCACCGACGACCAAATGCACCATTCAAGCCTCATCTCGGCCAACAACGACAGCAACAACAACATCGACCAAACCCACTACTCATCTTGATTCTTCTACTTCTAGCAGCACTTCTCGTTTCACTGACAAGCAAGTTGATCCTTCGGACAAAAGTGACAACACGTTGGTGATTGGTGGCGGCGCCGGTTTGTTGGTGTTGTTGGCGTTGGTTGGCGTCGGCGTCGGTTGTTGGCTGCGCAGACGTCGAGGGTCTGCTGAGGTCGAGTACGCGGAGGAGAACGAGATGTACGGCGAGTTGCCCAGCATCCCGAGGACGGCGGCGCCACCACCCGACGACGCCCAAGAAGTCGAGAACGACATGTACGGCGTCGTGCCGGCGGCCTTCGAGGAGGACAACGAACTCTACGGCACCTTCGCGTGAAATCATGAAAGAAACTCTTCAATTCTGAAAGTTAGGCAACCGGCTGGACACGAGTGTTGTGCGGTTCAGCGTTCCCAGTTTGCAAAAAAAATATTCTTGAACTGAATAATTTTCATTTTAAGAAAAATTTAAATATTTTAATACTTTTAGCTAATTTTTCTTATTAATTGATAAGATTGTTAAATACAATTTGATTCTTCTACTTGAAGTTAAAGCAATAATTGCCGCTATTTGTGTAAATTTTTTTCTTTTGCGAGTTTTTCTTTATTCGTTGATTATGGACAAGAGTGTGATGAATGAAAAACAGCAGCTCTGCAGTCTGCAGGCTCAAAAATGATCGAGCTATTTTAATGTTCCGGAATTGATAGCGAGAGAAAAACGTCAATGAAGTGACTCAGTGCTGTTTAAAATAATTACATGACTCATGATATTATATTATGCATCCGCTTTGATAAATAATGCGCCATGTTGTACCATATTTGTTCTCTTTTCTGATATCTCGCACAACCGCTATTTAAATTTATGCAATACATTAATAGAAATTCAATTTATAAAAAAAATTATTCTATTTTTAAAACCGCAAATATTTCATTTTTCCTTCACCATTTCACCTGGTGATTTTCTCACCAGCTGGCCTCAGAGTATTAAAACTGAATCAATATATATTCACTCAAGAGCACTTTTTTATTGATCAAAATTCAAACAAACTCGGCGGAAAATCAAAATAAAACGCAATTTCCTTCCGCTGTAGTGATTTCAAGGGTTGTCGACGACGATGCCTTCGATGTTGAGAATACTCTGGCGGTTGAAGGACATCTTGAAAAAGTATCCTGGGTCGTCGTTGTCAAGTTTGCTGTCGCAGTTGACGCTTGAACAAAAGGCCTGCACTCGGCCGTTGACCACCAACAGTGGAACTCGCTGGAAGGTCGTCGTGTCGTAGTTGTCCATGTAGTACGTCTGCGCGTGAAAAATTGTATCAGAAAAGAAAACAAAATCAATCCTGAAGCAGGGAACACCGAGACAAATTAAAAATTGATCTGCACTTCTTTGTCGACGCCCAAGTTTCAATTGACTTTCGTCAACCTCAGCAGGGTCAATTTTTTTAGATTAAAAAAAAATTTGATTTGTTTTGTACCGAGCAAATGCCAGCGGTAGTGTCTTGTTCGATGCACGCCCCAATGTCGCTGGCACCAACTGCTAATTGGGTATCGCAGTCCGCGTCCGAGAGCGTCGTCGTCGACTTGGACTTCAAACTCTGTCGAAATTTAGTGATTAATTCCATATTTGATATTGTTCGACGTTGCTGGTGGAAATTATAAAATAATTAAAAAATGCAATCATTGAAACTGACGTTGCCGGCGAAGAAAATGATGGCGGCGTCCGTGTTGCTGGCGTCGAATGTGACAAACTCGCTAATGGTCAGGTTAAAACGCGCCTCGCCGAAAGGTTGGCACGTCTTGAACACGTGGAAAGACGAGTGGGCGCCAACCAGCTTGGCCACGGTGTGCACCTTCAGGTCGACGTCGGTCATCAGGTACGTGGCAGCATTCATTGCGCTGAGACATTTTGTTATTATTTCTTCTCTAAATTGATTATTTTCAATTTCTCTTTCTTCTGAAAGATTGCAAGATTCAAAATCATTCATCGTGAACCTGAAGATTTAAGATTCCTTAAATCAGCTAACGTTGATTAATAGTAAAGTTTTCTATACAAATTTAGCGTTCGCAGCTCCATATCAACGACCTGAAGCTGACAAAAAAGAACTTTAGTCCTCTTTCGCGTGATTCATTTGCAAAGGGTTTGGAATTACCACGAACCGCACGATATGTCTTGAAATTTCAGAATTTGCGTGGTCGGATCTGAGCTTTTGTTTTCAACTCACTTGTAATACGGAGCGGCGCTCAAAACCATCTTGGCGCTGATGATCACCCCGGGAAGGGTGACTTCCCAAGGGGCTGTTGGAATTTCAACCCTGACCTTTGATTTCGGTTTGAATTCGACTGAACCCAAAACTCAATACTTACGACGTACGGATACTGGCCGGCCCAGTCGGCGTCCACAGTCGCTCCGAACCCTGCAGCCAACGTTGCTGCGAAAAACATGTTTTAAATTCATTCTTATTTTTCGATCGAGATGAACTCTTTACTTGACGGGTAAAGAGAGGCGAGCGCAATGAGAACAAAAATCATCTTGCTTGATCAAAAGTAAGTCTTGGCGGCGATTCGAGGATCCAAGTCTTTCTTAAACAACACCTTTGGTTGACTCTGCATTTTATACCGAGTTTAATAGGCCACATTTGCTTCCGAGAAATCGGGCAATTTGAAATTTCCTGTCTTTGTTCTGCGGTGCAACGAAATTATAAGTAATTTGTATTTCGACCTCAGCTTTTGTTTGCGAGGTTAATTGCTGACAATGAGCCCATAAATGCTGTTGTTCGAGGAAAAGGTAGCACTTGGGAAATGTAAATTGCGGGCGATGTTTTGCCGGAAAGGGAAGCAATAAAAAGTGTTTGTTTATTTTTCTAATTGTCCGTCATTTCCTCTTTGGACGCAGGCATTGTTTTGTGAAAACTCGGAAAATGGTAAAAAAAAAACTTGAAAATTCAAATATTTACAGCTTGTATTTCGTGCACTGCTTTTGTCATCTGCAAGCTTACAAAATTTTCAAATATTTCTTGGCATTGGAGTGAAAAGGCCCTTTAGAACATCTTAAAACGAATCGACAGAGAAGAATGAACAATATAAAAAGCGATTATCGGAAATTTAGACCTGATGCAGAGCAGAACAAAACGAAAGTGTAAAAAATAACGGTCTTTTTTAAATCATATATTATTTTTCGTTTTTCCAACTTCATTATGCTGAAAAATGTGCCTGTCCCGCGCAATTAACAATAAGAGGGATAATTAGAAGGAAATGAGCCCAGTGTTCACTGCTGTTCTTATCGTTTTTCCTCATAAACGCTTGCCGACGATTAATTATTTCTCAAAGTAAGGCTATTTCCCCGAAGAACTCAAACTGATAACGCACTTAATTACAGAAATGGTTGGGGTCAAAAGGCCATTCAAGATTAATTTTGTTCACCTGGGGTCAAATTCTGTAAGATAGAAACCTTCCATTTCTAATACATTTTCCATTTGCTTACCAACTCTATTTCGTCGCCTAGCTTTGTCGATAACGACTTATCTATTTCGCAGCCATTTCGTTACACAAATCTAATCAAAAATGTGTTTTAAACTAGAATTTTAAGTTTAATTTAGTAAAAGTAACGTTAGTGAATTGAAATAAAAACATTAGATTTTACTCCTCCACAATGGGTATTCATGAATAATTTTATTTTTGTCATTTGCCAAAACCTACACACATTGACCTAAAAGTTAAAACCAGAGTTATTGGGCAGGCCCTAAAAATTACCATTCTGATTAAAACTGCAACTTCTGCAACGAGGAAAAGCCCGATCGCTTCATTTCTAATTAAAAGTACCTTGAATAAAAAAATAATCACTGAATTTGGGAAACATGCAGGCGCAGGTCGAAAGGATCTGTCAAGGAAGCTGGGTGGAAAAAGCCTGATAAGGCATCATTTGTTAACCTCGCCCTTCCTTCTCAGCCGCAAAATCAATATTTAATAAAAGGGCATTTCCAAGAGGTCCTTTGGAGGAATTTTTTTTAGGAAACCAATCATTTTGAGTTTCACATATTTTGGAGGGCTTTTAAAAAGGAATTGTTTTCCAAAATTTTGGACCCCAAAAATTCCGTTTTTTCGGGACATTTTGAAAAAATTTAAAACGTGTATAACTCTGCAACCGCGAATGCTAGAGTGATAAAAATTTCATCCCTAGACGAAATTTTTTATGCCGAACAACTTTTCTGTCGAACCTAAAGCTGTAGGTCAAAGGTCAAGGTCACCTTTAAGCGATTTTATGATTTTTTTATAGTAAAAAAGTCTGATTTTTGGGATGATGGTCCCTTTTGATTTTTTTGCAGGTATGCGAAAAAATGTAGCTCGTCAAATTTTACATAGGATAATGTAATTTTCAGAGAAGTTAAATTTTTATTTTTCACACAAATTGTGTCCGAAGTTCAAAAACTGGGCGAAAAAGCCACCAAATTTCACGAGCTGATATAAAACATGAGCCAAATGTGTTTATTTTAATATATTTGAGAACGTTGACACACCAGTTTGAACTGAATTTATTTAAATTTATTCTCCATTCGATACAGTCATGTCATGAATATAGCAAAAAAAAAAAACTATACAGAAAAAGTACAGAAAAAGCTGAAATGGTTGTTATTCCAGAATTTTGTAAATAAATAGGAAAAATTGTTTTTTTTCCGGTTTTTTTTAGCAAGTTTTATTAAATTTTTCTCCAAAATATTTTTCAAGATTAACCGCAAAGTGATATTGTACCAGACAATTAAATTCTACAAGTGAGCCCAAGTAAGCTTATTTTGAAAAAAAAAAATTATTGATCATAGATTTAAAAAATTCTCAACAAACCACAACAACAAAATGGTGCATCTTAGGAGTTTGGTCTTTTAACTTTTTCAGCAGTAGATTCAAAAATTTTTTTTATGTTTTTGTAATAATATAAGATAATAATATTAATATTATCATGAATTTTGACTTCAATCACTTTGGCCAAAGAAGTTTTAGATATTATCATGCGCTTTCCTAAAGGTCGAGCTTAAAATGAATTTAAAAGGTACAAAATTGATAATATCAAATCTTTAAATTATATTTTAGTTTTTAGTGTGTACATATTTTGGTAAAACATAGATTAACATCGTCGTTTTTGGCACAAAGGATGGTTCAATCGTAATTAAAATATTGATGATATTATGATAAAGGGTTAAAAAAGAGTGAATTATTTTGCTGCAATATAATTTATATTACAATATCCAGACCTATGCAAAAAATGAATAGAAACGTGAAAAGTATAAGAAAATAATTTGAAAAAGGTGAATTTAAATGAAATTTTCAACGATGGCAGTGCTGGCGTCAAAATCAATTAAAACCCTGATGTAAAATGCACAATATAATTTATTTTCAATAATTGTTTTTCTGTTTCATTTTGCGTTCAGAACTTCAATCAAAGTAATCAGTCCTCGCACAGAGGGAAAACCGAAGTGTCTTCGATTCCCAAATTCACGAAGTGAGAATCGGCTGGGTTGGCCTCGACCCGTAGCTTGAATAGGTATTGGGTCGGGGTCGTGACCGGCGAACCCGAGGGCAAATTCCACTTGAAGGCCGAAACGTTGACCAACGCGTCCGAGCCACACCACCTGGGCACGTTTTCGTTGCCCAACCTGCTGCCCGACGTCCACAGACTCACCGGACGCAATCCTAAAAGTTGACACAACAATTAAAAATTGGAAAAAGTCTGAAGAGAAAAATGAAAAATACATGCCCAAGCTCAAACTGTTGACGCAATTTAACTCCTCGATTGTTTCAATCGAAACCAGGCGAAAACCAAACTCGCAACATCAGGTCCAGCCACCACCGTAATCGTACTAATTATTATCAATTTTAATTAAAGACCCACTCCGTGGTCATTTGTATGTCTCTCTATTGCCAAAGATTGCTAAATTTCGAGTATATCTTGTGAAAATTCCAAATTGTTGCGTCTGAGAATCAAAAGAAAACCTAAATACAAGTAATTCGCGCGAAAAACATGTGAGAATTGTGAATTTCCGTCAGTTTGGTCCAAAAACTGCAGGATTTGGTCACATTGGCGCTGCGATCGCTGATTTTGCCAAGTTTTCTGCACAGCGCCGTGGAGCATTTGTGGAAAAATCAGCGATCGCAGCGCCAAATGTGACCAATTCCTGCAGTTTTTGGACCAAACTGACGGAAATTCACAATTCTCACATGTTTTTCGCGCGAATCAATCGTTTTAGGTTTTCTTTTGATTGAGACGCAACGGTTTGGAATTTTCACAAGATATACTCGAAATTTAGCAATCTTCCATATAAACAAATGACCGGTGTGGATCATACATGGGATGCAAGAATATGATAATAATATACCCATTCGCCAATGATTATGTAATTTTTTCCTCCGCAGGCATTTCTGAAGTAACCAGTTCCCGCCACCGCTGAAAAAAATTAGGCAACGAAATATAATTAAATTATTACGTGTCCGCCTCACCTATGTCTTGTTCGAAAGCCTGACGCTTCACCGGCTGTCGATGAGATCAATATCAATTTGAAAAATACAAAATCGTTTTTGTTTTTACATCAATCACGCACTGGTATCCTGACGGGCACTTCGCTTCCGTCGGCGGCAGCGCGACTTCCTCCTGCGCGCAATTAATTTTAATAAAATGTGAGCATTTTGAACGAATTTCACTGACAGCCGACGTGTTGAATTCGACCGCCGCGATCACGTTCGAGACGAAATTGGGCGCCTTTTGCTGGCCGCACTGGTACACGAGGGCCGCCGTGTCGCACTCGTCCATGCCCTCTGCGAAAAGGATATAATTTTTTTTTTTACAATCTTAGTCATTTTAACCATATTTTTGATAAACTTGAGTGATTTGAACAAAATTTCAACAATTTTCCTCAAATTCTCAATTTCAAAGTAATCTGAACAAGAGCCTCTGTCAAACCATTCTCAGTTTGTGGAAAACTTGTTATCACCGAAATTATTCCGAAATCACTGAATTTGGAAATTAATTTTTTTATTTGACCTTTGCGGCTCTATGGAGTTTGTACCAGAATTGCAAAAAAAAAATACCTTGTTTCATAGGCAATACAACCCCTTATACTATTATGATTGATAAAAAGTATTGGGGGAGATTCAACGGGCTAAATATGTTTTATCCCGCCTTCGATTTTTTTGTCCCCAAGTCAATGGGAATTACTTTTCTTAGCCCCCTCAAAGGGACAAACAATTGACCCGCGCTAAAATCAAATCAGCTGATTATTAAAAGATCCTATTTGCAAAACTTTATCAAAACATAATT